TGGAAATCAAAAAGAAAAAATCACAACACACCCTAAGCAAAATTTCTAACTCAACAAATCAAAGCAAGGAGATATGGACAACCATAAATAAGGAAAGAAAGCCTAAAGAGCACACACGTAAAAATCTAACCATCAAAATCGATAATCAGCTCATCGACAATCCCAAAATTATAAGTAATGCCTTAAATTCATACTTTGTAGATCAAGGAACACCCGATGATAAAAACCCAAGCACCACTCCTACATCACTCCAACAAGAACCCAAAAGCTATACCCATAACCTAACAACTTTCAAACCGATAAACGAACAAGACCTGGCAAAAATCTTCAAAAAACTACCTCCGAAAAATTCTTCTGGATACGACGAAATACCTAATAAAATTATTAAATACTGTCAACAAGAGCTACTATCACCCCTCGTCAACATCATAAATGCATCAATTCATCAAGCAATAGTACCGACAAAAATGAAAATAGCAACAGTATACCCAAAACATAAAAAAAATGAAACTACAAAAATATCAAATTACAGACCGATATCCATCCTTCCCACCCTATCAAAATACCTCGAAAAAGTAATCTACGAACAAATCATGGAACACCTAATTAATATTGATTTTCTTTCGCCTAATCAACACGGCTTCCGCAAAAATAAGTCCATAAATACAGCCTTAAATCAACTCTGTGAAACCATCACCTCTTACTGGGAGAAAAAACAAAATGTATCTGGAATTTTTCTTGATATCCAAAAAGCTTTTGATAGCCTAAATCAAACCATCCTCATCAACAAGCTTAATGAAATGAATATAAAGGGGAATGCCCTAAATTGGGTAATAAGCTACTTTACAAACCGTTTCCAGCAGGTAGAAATAAACTACTACAACAATAACACAGAATTAAAAGCCAAATCAACACTACAACGTACAACTCGAGGTATTCCCCAAGGGTCGGTACTGGGACCTCTGTTCTTCATAATTTACATAAATAACCTACCAGACCTTCTACCAATGGACAAGACCAGCATTATCTTCGCCGACGACACAACCATCCTCTTTCCCACAAAAATTGGCCAGGAATCATCAGACATAAAAGAAACAATTGAGCAAGCAATAGAAATTTGTAAAACCCTGGACCTCAAAATTAACAAATCCAAAACTTTAAATGTTAACTTCGCCACCACAAGTAAACAACCTGAACTATCAACCGAAGAAGCATTGATAACAACAGCAACTCATACAACTTTCCTGGGCATAACCATTGATCAACACCTGACCTGGAATAACCACCTGGAAAAACTTGGGAAAAAATTATCATCCTCACTTTTTGCCATACGAAGAATACGCTCTATAACTGATAAAAATACTTCTAAAATAGCCTACTACGCACTCTTCGAATCTCACTTACGCTTCGGAATAGTAGCCTGGGGGACAGCGGCGGATTGTTACATCTACATAATCCAAATTCTTCAAAAAATGGCATTAAGAATCATTGAGAACCTACAACCGCAAGAGCATTGTAAACCATACTTCGTTAAAAACAAAATCCTTACCGTTCCAAACCTATACATCCTTGAAGTTGTAAACCTCCTAAAACTAAACCCCCCAAAGCTTAGGGAAAACTGCCACAAATATAGCTTGAGAAACACAAAAACAAACTTCGATATCCAACAACACAGATTGTCAAAAACCAGCAAAATACCCCAAATCATGGGGTCAAAAATCTTTAATGCTCTCCCAGAACATATAAAACAAATCAAATCTCCAAAACCTTTTTTTAAATCACTCAAAGAATATTTAGTCCAGAAACCATTCTACAAATTAGATGAGTTCTTTGAAGAGCACACTGCTCACCACAAAGATAGGCTTTAAAATAAACCCACTTTACACCATACACACACACATTAACACTACAATAACACAACAAAAAAAGAAGATGACGATTCCCTAGTCTCTACTACTACGGAGAAGAGGACCAAGGTAAAAGGTAAAAGGGATCACCAAGCCACACGAGCCCTAGCAAGCTAACGCAGACTTGTACAGGTTCGAACACCCGTCAAAGGCCCTATCGTGAGTTTTATGATAAAAGTAATAAAGTGAGACCCCACTTGAGTGAGGGTTACATTAATCACTAAATAAATACCTTGAATAATAATAAACACTAGATTAAGAAAATCTGCGAATTACCTGTATACCGGTACTCCAGAGACAGGGAATGACAGGATGGGAGAGAGAATCTCGCGAGGACTCCTCTCCAGCTGACTCATTCCCAGCTGATCGATGACGTCACGAGTTAAAAACTTGGCGCTCACGTCACGATTCCATTAACAACGCCAAGGGGTCTGGCGTACGGGAGGTATAAGTGAGGCAACGATGACATCATAGTTTAGTTCAAAATTCCTCCGTGAACAGCGTTGTAGTAGAGAGCACAGCGCGTAATTTTTCCTTCACTATTAGTTAATTATAAAATTAAGAAAAATTATAAAATTAATCTTATAATTTTTAAATTGAAATGTCATAACCTAACCAAACGTGCTGATAATGAAAAAATCGAATGAAGGTTTACTAATCTAAAATATAGTTTTGTTCATAGAGTAAAATTATAAATGCATAAAATTCAATGTTATAATTAATTTTTTTATTATAAAATTAAACTGTCATAACCTAACCAAACCAACCAAACTTGCTAATATGAAAAAAATTGTTGACAAAAAGTAAGTGCTACCAGCGGGATTCAAACCTGGTACATTCGGATTATCAGCCCTACACTATCCTCTACCTACACCACCGAGGCCGATGGCTCAAAACCGTATCGTTGTGGTAATGGTGTTCCCTCAAAGTGACGTCAGCAGTTAGTGACGGCAGTCAAACGGCACCTGAGAAATCTTCCGTGTGCCGTTTTGGTATTCACAGTGATTACATTACTAATCTATCGAACATAGGTTATCACTTAAAATCGATAATCCGATTAATGTCAATACCCACATAGATGATATCCGATGTTATTCCCAGCAGGCTTAGCTACTTGCTATGTAGTTTTTAGGGAAGACAGGGCATAGCAGCTCTGTAGTGCTGCACATTGCCGTAGATTAAATAGTATACTCCAATTGAGATTTATGAATTACATCTCTATCATCCTGAACTGAAGGAAATTTCGTTGTTAATTCCGTCCAGCTTATGTAGGAAGCATTTCGTTGTTTACTTCTGGTTTCTTATTATTTAACCAATTTGTGTATAGTGCCTTGCCGATGAAGGTAATTCTTATAAAGGGGTTCTTATACTTACACACTTGACATTACCACTATTGTATATTTTTACACACACCATCGGTCACACGTTAATCGCGGTAGGGTTTATCGATTACACGCTACGGACACGCGGCGGAGTCGTATTCTTGTTGGAGGGAGGTCCTTCTACCTCCGTTTCATTCATCGGAACTGTGTGTTGGAATTAGGTGCGTTTGATAGCCGACCGAGGGTAGGCTTTCATGTTACTTACTTAGGGGGTTAATTAACTTACTATAATTGACATAACCAATGCATGTAAACTATGTAAATCTGGTTGAATAAATGACTAACTTATGTTTATGGTCGGGTCGGGCGGAGGAGGAAGTACCTTCAGCCAACATGACTTTTGCCGTGTGTCCCCGTTGGTGCGCTACTCGATAGACTTGAATACAATCAATGGTGTTATTGTGATAGTAGGCCTACAGGATGGGGCAGATTAACTTCCTTTATTTCAGTTTCAGTAGGCAATCCTGAAGCTACGGCTGCTGTTACAAGGTTTGAGATTTAGATTATCTAAAAAGGAAGTGATTCAAAGTTTATATCCCACTCGGTTCAGTTTATACCAAAACAGTGGACAAATATTCAAAGGACAATCACAGTTGAGGTGTATTTTTCCAGTGGCAGATCCAGAGGGGCCCGAAGGGGGCGACCTCCCCCCCCCTCGGGCATATATATATATATTTTTACTGAATGTAATACAGTAGTGCATACACATTGCGTAAAATAATGTCACACTAACTTTGGAAAAAGAAATGGCATAAAACTGCCATTTTGGAGACTTATTTTACACAAATCTTTCAGGGGGGTACTACCTAGACCCCCCCCCCGTTCACCCTCCCATTGCGACTGTTCTATATCTGCCACTGTATTTTTCAAATGGCCACCTTGGTTCTTGACTGATAAGACTAATTTCAATATTTTGGAACAAAGTCAATAAGCAGAACATGAGTTATAGGATCTCACACAACCCAGTAGGTTTGCGGTTTGCATGTGATGCGCTATGCTATGGAGTGTGTGCCCGAGAGATTATTGCGCTCCTCTCCACCTACCTCTTGTGGTGGACTTAATATCTTCCTTGTGCACGGGCCCATTTATCTAAACAGCCCTGCAACCCAAACAACTTCTGGTGTGGAAAAAGTGTGGTAAGATTTATTGTAAGGCACTGCTCCATTACTATCCAACCAGTCTTTTGTTGATAGCCCAATTAATTACAAAAATGGCACCTGAGTCCAGAAACAATCTCGCTTGGAAATGAACCCGTGTCCTTCAGATTTGAAAGCGAGCACTAAACACTCAGCTACTCAGAACGATCAGAATATCTTTAGTACAGTCACGTGAGCCTGGGTATAGCTTGGCCGAATTAAAGTTAAATGTTTTTGTATTCCTGTTGATAGTTAGTCCATAGTTAGATAGTTTACATAATTTTTTTCTCAAGACTAGCAGTTCTGAGGATTCCACAGACTGGTATTTGACTGTAAAATGAATTTGTTTGCAAATTCCTATTGCACAGGGCATAGGGTCTTCCTCCACTGTGAGCGTTGTAGTACACAATGGCGGGGGTGTGGTGTTGGACTTGGCCCTAGACACCACTTAAGTGTACCATTAAATGTTTCCTCTGTGATTTACTTCTCTGTGGTCTAACAGAACTCTAAATAGATGTCTTAACCTACAGAAATGATAAAGTGGCTGACATTTACAAATAAAGTCTAAGCAGAGATATGGATAAAATTTTATTAACAACAAAATATTTATGGAACAAAATAAGTAGTCTTGTTTGTTAAATAAATGCATAAATAACCTTAAAACTATATTACACTGGAATCAATAAATTCAAATAGAAAAACAAAGAGAAAACTATAGTATAAGCATAGACTAACCAACACAAGTAGACTTCTCATCCCATTGTAAATTTTGAAGCACGTTTTTCGTGTCTAGTTCATGTACGTGACACATGGGCGCTAGTGTCGACAAAACTTTGTTTCTATTATTTTAGGGTTAATTTCTTGATTTGTGCTTTACTGTTTGGTTATATAACTAGGGGACAAGTTATTGTTTATGATTAGATCGTATTATTTGGTTAAACGAGGTTTTAAATGGCTGTAATAATGGGAAAAAAATTGTAAACAAAACACGACATCTACAAAAACCGTACAGAATTAACAATCAAATTGTCTTCAGCTGTTCCATAAGGATGAGAAATCTACTAAGGGAGTATGTGTATAAGTTACTGCATACAAATGGTCTGTAGAAAGATTAAGCAATGTTTCCAAATTTCTATTTAATTTATAGATGAATAAAAACAGCTGTTGCAATTTTCATCAAACAATTATCTTAGTAATTTTCATAACGGAATGTGTGTGATGAAACTGATTTGGTTGCCTTAACTAAGTAATACAAGATTTCATAAAGCATGTGTGATGGCAGGACGGTGGCGTGCCTAGTTATACTTTTTCCAAACATTACCGACCATGACTAGCATCAAATGCTACAAAAAACAATCTTTCTGTGAGCTTTCACCTTGAAAGATTTAAATCCAACTATAAATTCTTCTAAAGAATCACACAAGGTGAACAATATTTTTTATAAAAACACTGACATAAAATTTATATTCCACGATCTTTGTGACTTCTCCCTACCACAATGGTAACTTTTTTTAAGATAAACTAGTTAAACGTGATTTGATATAGAAACAAAAAATCACATCAAAATCACTTCAGACAATGCAAAATTCTATAATACGCCAAAATATACAAATTAAATATTGCAAAAAATCATCGCACAAGTACAAATATCACAAAATAAAATATTCAATAATAGTACAGTTACAAAAAGATCAGAAACCGTGAGATTTCATAGACAATCGATGCTTAATGATATACGACACTGGTAATGTTTATAATATATTTGGCACCACAAGTTTTGGGCATTTAACTTCAGTTTCGTCTCGTTGACAGATTTGATCACTACTTCAACGCCGTTGATGGGTTTGAGCACTAAAATCCAGTGTAAATGTAACGATGACTATCAACTGGACTCGTGTTCTGAAAGTAACAAACTCTTGTTTTTGAAATATTCACCCAGCCGCAAAGCCGCATACCTGCAAAAAACAAATCCCAACTCATTAGAAATAGTAAACCGGTTTATTCTTAATAAACCCCTAAAAATTTACCCAATAATAACTAAGAAATAGAAAGCTTTGACTGTGGATAGCAATATTTACATTTAAATGTAGAAGAATTGAGCCAACAAGAGAACATGCTGAACCCAACTAAACAAAAATCAGAACTCATTGATAACTATAAAACCGGTTATATCACATAACAACAAACAAAACCTAAGAGAGGAAACAGAAATATTACAAGGATATTTCAGACAGGAGCCTACTCTGTCTCATTCAACTGTGTGCCTTTTTTCATAAAATAAATAAGCTACAGCTGGTCCTCATTAGATGGAATGTCTACTGAAATACTCACTGTACAAAGTCAAAATCGATGTTTGAGTGCTGCGCTTGCACTAAAGCCCAGATGCCCCAGATGAAGTGAGCGGCCAGGGCAAACTTGTTGACTTGTTCGTAGAGTGTAGTGACTTCCGAATCGTTCGGAAAGCGACCGAGGAATTCCTCTAAGTAAACCTGCAGCCAGGCTTGCTGCAGCTGGGGTTCTGGATATCGGGAGAAATCCACATCACTCACCCCTACAGAGCAAAACACATTATACACTTCAAATGATATTAAGTTTAAGATTTTCAATGTTAAATACCCACTGTTTCATACGATCAGGATTATGTCATTTTCGTGAACAGCTGTTTCACTCATATTTACAATGGCATCTTTAATCAAGAGGTTAGTTTTACTTAAAGCTAGGGTTTCCTTGGTGCAGAACGGAACTGAAAAACACAAAGAGCGGAGAAGCGATTTCAGTTGCAGTCCACTCCACTTTAAGTTAAACAGTATCATAAAATTACATTAAATTAGCTAAGAAAGACAAGCTAGGAAGATGTTCTCCCACTGCAAGCTTTCTCTTTAGAAGCCTGTTATAAGTTATATAGGTATTCATTAACTTTGGCTATACGCTTTACACCTTCAAACCAAATTTCATCAAAATCGGACAAAAATTACTCAAGTTATCGCGTTCACGGACGTATATATATACATATATAAAAATTTGAACGAATGATGTTTTTGGCCTCTGGGGACATCAAAATGAAAAAGTAAATCGGTCCCGGGTCTAGGTCTTACCGTGCCACCTACGGTAATAGCTACTTCCCTATAGGGAAATTCGCTAAACAGCCAATCAACTATGGCTTCAGCTATAAGCTAACGCCACAACCTTCTAGGCCTGGCAAAAGTAATGTGTAAAAAGGTTGCGGATTAGAGCCTAGAGTTAGGTCACAAACACATTCACTTACCAGCGAACTCGTCAAAGTGGTTGCCGATGTCGAAAGCCTGGTAGTTGTACGCTGCGTACTCGTAGTCTATGAAGCTGACTGAGCTCGGCGTGCGGATGATGTTTCCTAGTAGCAGGTCGTTGTGACAAAACACAACGGGAGAGTGAAGGTGACTGAGCGCGCTACGGAGTGACTCGCACTCCTCGGCCAAACTCTGCACACCTCCTGCCACAAGAGACGCAAACCTGCAATTCACAGATGTTTCAATGACATTGTGTGTGAAATATGTATTTACAACACCAACTACAATCTAATCGAGAGCCACAGTATGTAGGCCTATCCATCAATAGTATTAGAACCTGGACGAACGGTTACAAACAAGACACAACTATATATTTTAGGTATTATATATTATTTAGTAACTTTTAAAACTCATCCTTGAAGGTATTTTTCATTGTTGTCTTGTAACATTTGTATCATAAATATCATAAAAAGGCCAGAAAACGCAAAAAATAAACTATTAAATATAAATTCTCATTTTCCAAACATATACAAAGTTTACAGCCTGTCTTTCATGGGACCAATTTTTCCATTTGAAGCAATTGTCAGAAATAAATCAATTCAGCAAATTGAAGGTTCTTTTTGAAACTCATAACGTAAAATAATACTGAAAAACATTTCAATACAAAGCATGAAAGGTAATGACGAAGATTGCAATGTAGGATAAACAATTTGTGTTGTGACAGAGACAAATAATAACTCGCATGAGTTTATGGCAAATCAATAACATTGCGACTACTGAAGCAGAATGAGAATTTCTCTGTCAACGCAAATTCCAGTTCTCAATGTCTTCAAAGTTAGAAAAGTTTTGTAACAAATTTTTACAAAACAATTTATGTAAATGGATCTTGTAAATACAGTATAATATCATAAAAATAGACCTTTGATTACTTGGAGGCATTTAACTATATTTAATTTTCTCGTCCATTATTAAAAGAACAGGATGGTATTTTTTATATTGTCTTGTTTCTGTTTTGTTATTGTTCTATTTATTTATTTGTTAGCTTAATTATTTTTATCGACGAAAGTTGTTCTGAAAAGCAGTTGTACTGAAAAACGCTTGATAAAAAAGGCATTTTTATTTATTTTTTTTATATAAATTTTAAATTTCTTGTGAGTTTATACCGGGTAAATACCAAAAACTAATGAAATGACTGGACTGAGATTAGACAAAAGGTTTGTTATGAACAGATATATTTATCTAAACAAACACAATATAGTTTTGTACTTTAAATCCCTTAAATTGACACGCAAAGGTGGAGCTTTTGGATATAAATATTGGTCTCCATGGGAACAAAAACCCAGAGTTTAAATATGCTACGCATTTACATTTTGATATGAATTAGTATATTTTAAAAATAACCCTGGAGTTAACCAGACGAGTAGCCTACTTTTGTTCCCCGGCATGTAACAATGTCAAGTGCAGAATTGCAATACGAGTATGGTTAAGAAATTTTGGACGAGTGAAGTACGGAATTTGTTGCCATACTACTCTAATCTAACTGAACAATAAAATACCCCCGCCACAGTAAACCTACAAACTAAGTTGATTTCTATTTTACTATATTAAATTTTCAAAATTTCCTTTAAAATGGCAGACTTACTTTCAAATTGGATAACTAGTTTGCTGCAACAGGAAAAGTAATAATGTAAGTTTTTAAGTGAAAAGTTAGCTAGAATGATAGCTTTGACTAATAGTCAATGATGATAGTTAATAGGTAGATAGAGTTAATAGCTTAGAATGAGTTAAAAAAAAAATGCAACTTCAAGAGCGTACTAATTCTTGATAATAATAATATTATTAAATTTAATGAAAATTTTTCTACGTTGATTATTATTATTATGTTATGAAAATATGAAGTTTTCAAAGCTCCACCAAATTCTATTAAAACAGAGTAATGTAGGGATAGAGTTACAATATCACTCAACCATACAGCTGATTAGAACAAATAAGAAACTATAAATCTTGAGTATAATTGATTTTAGCACAATTAAAACGCACATTTAATGTTATTTCATTTCCAATCCGTAAGAAACTAAATCCTCCCTTTCATGCTTTAAGCTCTCATACCTTTTTTGCTTGTCCGGATCGCTATACTGTTGCGGTATGAGCTTAATGAACTTGTCCAGTGCCGGCCATAGCATGGGCTCGTGTTGGCAATCGTGGAGCCGCAGCCGATGCAGCTGCGCAAGCCGTCGCGCGACGTGAGGATATATCTCAGGCGATCTCACCGTCTCTACAGTCAACACCTCTCCTGGTATGTACTGGTAGGCCAGGCCGTTGTTGAACGTTGCAAACAGCGGCGGAGCAAACCCAACACCTTGTAGGAGCTGAAACAAAATTTATTATAAACATTACCATGAACATGAATGGTTTTTTAATCAGATACACTAAATATTCTTCAACTGTATACTGTAAGTTCTCAAAGCTTTGATTTATAGCATTCAAAAGTCGTCTTAGTTTCTTAGACAATGTACAATTTTATCCTTAAATGAAAATAGCAAGAAAATTTACCAAACCACCTTTATAGTCTCAAGAGATAAGCGAACCTACATCGATCGTCTTAAGAGATAACTAAAAATTAGGCTTAACAGCAGTTACAACTTTTGAGCTGATTTATGAAGATTAAGCCAACTTTTTAGTCACGTTACTGCTCAGCGGCTAAGAATGTGGATTTTAATTCAAGGTATAAGCTAGCCTACCTTGGTTGTATCGAAAGATAAGTTAACACACCTATCTTCCAAGATAACTTAATCCGGACTTTGATATCCTCAAGATTTAAATTAACCTATAGCTTGTTATTCTCAAGAGTTAAATGAACCCACCTTAATATTCTCCAGCTCGGTTTTCCGGTTGATCAGAAGGTCTGTGTTCGGTCCATACACTCTCACGAGGATGATGTCAACATCTGAAGATCCGTTTGCCGAGTTGAAGCAACCGATTAACTTGTTCGTGATTCCATCTGTGAACAACTGATCATCCGACATTATAAAACTCAAGTAACAGGTTTATAACTGTACTAGCTGTACCCGCGGGCTTTTCCCCGTTTTACTTCATGAGTGAGCTCGTTCTCATGGCTCAATCACGACCTGGTTGAAGTTAGCTTGTTCGCTACGCTAACTCGCCTCCAGGTTGAAGTTTGTTCGCTACGCTAACTCGCCTCCAGGTTGATGTTCGTTCGCTACGCTCACTCAACTTTGGGTTAAAAATTAGCTGTTGTCATAAATTAAAAAATAATAATAGTGCTGCACCCTGTTGGTAATCTTTGTAACTTTAATGCTATTGAATATCATAGAACAGAACCAACTTGTTTAATTGAAACAGCTGTTAAGATTCATTAATTCCATTTAAATATGAGTACTCATGAGGTTAAAATGGGAAACTCCAGAGCCACTGGGGGGGAGCCCGAGAGTCCGATCAGAATAAAAACAACTTAGTTTTCCTATTTAATGCCTAAAGAATCAGTGTACCAAATTTCGGACTCCTAGGTAAATGGGAAGTGGGAGAATTATTGATGAGTGATTGAGTCAGTGAGGGCTTTGCCTTTTATATACATAAAGAGTCGATTATCTCTATTCTCTACTAGTAAAGACAGGGGTGAAAATAATAAAAATGTTCTGACAATGGAACACAGAAACTGATCTGTACTCGTATTTTTAACGTTTAGGAATCATTCTGCGAAGGAAGTTTTAATATAGATGAAGAACAAAAATCAGTAGAAGGGTTGGAGTTCCACTCCATTAGATTTTTGCAGTTTGATAATCGGAGGCTAGGAGTTTGAATATCATATGATTGAATTGACATTTGGATAATTGAATCCTTACTGTATATTGATTTTAATATAAATGACTGAGGTAATTGTTTGAGGGGAGGGATACAATTATTTGTGTTCTTCCTTTATACAGCCGTTAAGAGATGATAATGGAAAGTCGTATCTTAACCTAGATTTTAATATGCTTTTGTCTCTTTTGTAACTTCGTTTACAGGCTAAGACAAGCCTTTGCCCAAGTCTAGACCATCTATTACATGTCTATTCAGGACAGTTAGGTCAGTATCAAACCGTTAAAAACTGACTTATCTCAGGAGTGCAAGGACCCAGTGACCTTTAGACAGCTACTAGCTGTACCCGCGGGCTTTGCCCCGTTTAGCTTCATATGTGAGCTCGTTCGCATGGCTCAATCACGTCCTGGTTGAAGTTCGTTCGCTACGCTCACTCACCTTTAGGTTGGAGCTCGTTCGCTGCACTCACACGTCCTGTTTGAAGTTCGTTCGCTACGCTCACTCACCGTATTAATAGTCTCAATCTTACTTGAATTCTTAATAGTTGTCATAAACAATGTACTGTACTGTAAATACAAGAATATTCTACCAATTTTAAACCTTCCAATTGTTAGAATTTTTCTCAAATGTAGGACAAGTCGGAAGAACCATCAGAAACACAGTGTCTGATAAGATAATATGTTGGAAAGGTTGTGTAATTGAGAGCAATTCAAACTTTATAGTCAAATAAACCCCTGTAAAAGGGATTAGTGCAATCTTATATTGATACTGATATTCATAGACTGATGTACTTTAATAATACAGTAGTTAGTAAAACTTTTTTTAAATAAATATATGTCATACAATTTAGAGACCACCTTCATTTCAGCTATTAAATCTACATTTAAGAAAATAATTATACATAGAACATGCTTTCCAAGAATAGTTTCTAGTATGCTATCATCATGGGTAAAATGTTTTTGCTTTCAGCATTTCGAATTGCTAACATGATGTCTAAACTGTTGCCTACACCTCAAAATAAAAGTTTTGGTAGCGTTTAGAAATATTATCAATGTAAATTTTATATTTTTGATCAAATAACACCAAACACATAAAGTAAAATTGGCCGAGAAGATTGTCAAGTTAGCAAAGTAGATTGAGTGACAACTAAACAAAGATAAACAGTATGACAAATGATTGTGTAAGCAATCATAATGCCTAAACAAGCTTTGTTATCTCTAAAATATCTGAGTTCAAAGGACAAATATTACACAGCAAACTGATGTTGAGATTTCCATATGTTTTCAATTCCATTTGTAGGTAATGATTCTTAAACCTCGTCAGCTATAAACAAAATTAATTTTGACATTAGGATTTTATACTAGTAAAATTATTTGTAAAAAGTGTATTTATATAAATAAATGGATAAAATCGATAACTATAGAAGCAGTAACAGATCCATAGCCTACATCTACAGAAATAAATACTTAAACCAGGGGTGCCCATCCCCCCCTAGACTCATGACGCACCCCCCCCCCAATTGAGCAACAGCCCCCCCCATAAATGATGTACACAACAAATGAGAAACATTATTCCCCCGCCCAGCACTATTTGTAAAACCATAAAAGAAGTTTTATATTTTTTTTAGATATTTAAAATTCAAACCCAGTTAATCTATATCAATAAAGTTATAGTTTTGTCTGTACATTGCTCAGAATTATACATATTTTGGGTTATTTATGTTTTATACATTGAAGAAGTTGAAACATGTCTTATCTCCATTTATGTCCGTCTGTCACGGCCCAGAAAGCATTTTATGCAACCTACTCATGGCCTACTCTAAAGAAAACTAGAGTACCGATTTTGATTCTAATGGTTTAATTGTTTCCACAGGATTGGCGAGAGAGTCCTTATAGCCATTAAATATGGCCTCACTATTTTGGAAATAAAATAACGGACAATTAAAAATAATATTTTGTTTGATTTTTATAGTTTATTTTCTCCATGTTTACTACATACGTCATTAATTTATGAAATACTAATAATCTGTTAAGAGAACACGTCATATATGAAATTACGAACAGCTGTTTTGATAAAGATTCCTTTTCCTAGCTGTCACTGATATGTTTACATAAATGTTCTTTAAGAATACTGTGTAGGCCCTAACCATTTCCGATCACGTTTGTAAGCAAATCCAAAACCAAGTGAGATTAATAACCGTGTGGTTTTGGCTTATATAACGGGTTTGATTTATCACGAGTACTAATATGTAACTGTAAATTAAATTAAATAACTAGCCATCATCCAGGCCGGGAACCGGAGATTCTGTGTGTATCAAGTTGTCCTTGAATTTTGATTACAGGGAAAAGACCGTGAATCAGTGTTGTACAGGACTGGAAAACTTATCTTTCTATATAAATAAAATTAAAGTTTTATAAGTCACCTCAATTTAAGGAATTTTTTATTGCCAGAATAGCCATAACGAATTGTCAGCGTCTTTCTCGATATAACGATCCCCTCTCCCTCCCTTTAGAAACATCACAGCTCCTTTGATGAAAATGAAATGGAAACAACACTTGCGCCAACAATCGTCTGCTCCGTTATAGTCTAGTTGCCAAAAGGCATTTTTCACCCAAACCTGAAAGTAAGGTCCACCCGAAGTTTTATGGTGTTTTCTGTTTCTTCAAGACCTACATAACTAAAATCTGCAAGGTGCCACTTTGTCACCCTTGAGCAAATTGAAATATTCAAGATGGCGGCCAAGATGGCTTAAAAACTGTATATTTGCTGTATCTTTTCCTATAGAAGAGACAGGATAATAATTTTTGTGTCTAATTTTATGTTTTAAGGGTCAGAGAATACCAATAATTGATTATCTTAGTAATAAAAAGACCCCCGCCACAGCAAACCTGCCGACTAAGCGAATTTCCAGTTGCCTGAATTGATTTTCAATTAAATGTATTTAATTAACATTAATTTTTATGAGTACTTAGGCTTGCTGCTACAGGGAGGGTAAAAAGTGTTTTTTTTTGTGTGAAATATTAATAACTTTGTATAAAATAAATAAATTTACCAAGTTTGATCAAAATATATCCATAAACAAGCAGACTACAACATTTTACAATATTCCCCATAAGAATAACATAGGAATTTTAAAATAACAATTATTTAAATTTTCTCCGTATCTAATAATGGTACAAAAACACTTTGATATACTAAATTATTTGCTTTTTTAAGCTCTTTAAGAAGGTTTGAAGAGAAATTGGAAAATTTTGCGTTTAGAGGGTCAAAAATTAGAAAAAACAATTTTTACTCCATAAAACCCCGCGTAAAACCCCGCGTAAAACCCCGTTCCCATGGTCCGATCATGCTGGTTCTCGAACTCATTCAAGTTTATCCTGCCTTACACCTTCAAACCAAATTTCATCAAAATTGTATAAAAATTACTCAAGTTATCGTGTTTACGGACACATATATGTAATTGTCTATTATGAAAAATTGAATTTTGGTATGTTTCAAAACCCCAACTTTTTCAATCAATCAATTTATTTATTGAACTATAATGAATACATGCATATTATACAACAGGTGCAAAAACCATACAAGGCTTGTCTGCACCAACATATTATGAAAAACAGTGTTCAGTGTTCTCATGCTAGGATTTTGTCAGATCTTTTTATACATTGCCCTATATGTATGAATGTATGATTCCAAAATATGTTTTAAATGTTCTCAAAGCAATTTTTCCCACCTCAAAGTGTATTTTAATTGAACTAGATGTAGTGGTGCAGCCCGCGTCACGACTAGCGTTCCAAGTTGAAGACTAATAACAATATATCCCATAATATATCTTCAAAGCAATATACAAACTGATATGAGGTTGATAATTGTTGAAAATTGTATTCAGATTCTTTTAAGAGCCACAAAATATGAATGTTCTTATCACCTGAGTTTATATTTGCAAACATTTAAAGGTTTTACAAAAAAAATCTTCGAAATTTGCTATTGTTTCAATTTAAAGCTGTCTATTTTAAATAAATCAATAATGAAATGGTATAAGGTTATTATTATCTTAAAGTAAACTTGAAGAGGAATCTATTAAGACAAACCGCAAATCGTTAAGACGATTAGTTGTCGAATAATTGATGTTTTACTAAAAGCTTACATAAATCCAATATGGCGGAAGTTTTTTCAAAAATGGCGGCTTTCCACCACTTGGATTTTCTTGATTTTTAGTATAATATTCTTGACACCTTTTTTGACAAAATCCCATATATTTTGGAATATATGGGGAAGAAATATATTTTATTTCTTTTACCTTAAGTTTGATGTTGGACCGTATTTTGACTAGCCTAAAGAACAGTGTTTTTTTCTTAATTCAAGAAAACTATAATTTAAAAAGCAGTTGATAAAGTCATTCACTGTTCCTGAAGAAGGATAATGCACTGTCCCCAGTACAGCACAAGCATCAATTAGGAGAACTGCTTGTAAGTTAACTGATTTGATGACTGTGTTCTGTTTGAATGTAGCACTTATCCTCAGAAACCATAGATATAATGTTTTAAGTCAAGTAAATACTTGAAAACATTGTTGATAAGGTAACTTGGCAACAAATTAATGTGGAAATTTATTAAATATTGATTTATTATTTTGGGTAATTTTCTAATTAAAACATCAAACTAGGCACAAAATGATTATCCTGTCTCTTCTATAGGGAAAGATACAGCAGATATACAGGATTAGTAAACCGAACCAGCATGATCGGACCATGGGAACGGGGTTTTACGTGGGGTTTTATGGGGTAAAAATTTGTTTTTCTAATTTTTGACCCTCTAAACGCAAAATTTTCCAATTTCTCTTCAAACCTTCTTAAAGAGCTTAAAAGAACAAATAATTTAGTATATCAAAGTGTTTTTGTACCATTATTAGTTACGGAGAAAATACAAATAATTGTTATTTTAAAATTCACATGTTATTCTTGATTATATTTTATATATTTTTTATATTAGGATATATTTTGATCAAAATTGGTAAATTTATTTATTTTATACTAAGTTATTAATATTTCACAAGAAAAAAACACTTTTTTACCCTCCCTGTAGCAGCAAGCCTAAGTACTCATAAAAATTAATGTTAATTAAATACATTTAATTGAAAATCAATTCAGGCAACTGAAAATTCGCTTAGTCGGCAGGTTTGCTGTGGCGGGGGTATTTTAATTACTAAGATAATCAATTATTGGTATTCTCTGACCCTTAAAACATAAAATTAGACACAAAAATTATTATCCTGTCTCTTCTATAGGGAAAGATACAGCAAATATACAGTTTTTAAGCCATCTTGGCCGCCATCTTGAATATTTCAATTTGCTCAAGGGTGACAAAGTGGCACCTTGCAGATTTTAGTTATGTAGGTCTTGAAGAAACAGAAAACACCATAAAACTTCGGGTGGACCTTACTTCCAGGTTTTTTGACCGGCAACCAGACTATTATACACTTCTGTCTGCTGTGCGTTATGTTACAACAGTTTCAGATACAACAGCTGGGGAATGATGACGATATAATGCTTGTACACTGTGATTGAGTGATAACCATGGTAACTTTAGTAAGGCTGTGATTGGCCAATGAGTAGGCCAAAATATGGCGACTTGTTGAATTTGTGTATGAATTGAAGAGAAACCTATTAATGAACAAAAGAACAAAGAAAGATTATAACAAGATTGTTCTTGTTACATTCTTTTTTAAGAGTGTTTTAATTATCTCTAAATATAATTTTACACTTTTTTATTACTTATCTATCAATTCCTATGCTGTGATTCAGCACCTATCGGTAGCCTATCTGTCTATCATGAGCAGTACCTTATAACACTTTCTAAAGGTTCCTTTAATATTAACGTTATTTATAGCAATATAGTATTACGTTTTCTGTGATAGCAATGCAATGTTTGGCTAGTGATTAGTTGAGTTTGAGCACAGAAAACGTACTACTATACCCAGAATGCCAACCGCATGGTAAAAAGCATTAAGCGGTTTGAGAGAGCTTTGCCTGTCAATCCGTAGGCAGCGCCACCAGCGTTGCCATGCAATAGCATAGCAACGCTGGTGGCGCTGCCTACGGATTGAAAGGCAAAGCTCTCTCAAACCGCTTAATGCTTTTTACCATGCGGTTAGCATTCTGGGTTATAGTAGTACGTTTTCTGTGGTTTGAGTTAGCTACAATTTTAAACGTTGCCGTTTGTACAACTGAACCAAGATAGATGATTTGAAATTTACAATAATAATGATAGTGCAATATTGAATTTCGTTTATAAAAATGTAAATCGTGACTTAATGGCTGGTTACAGCGTTTTAATGAGTTTGTCATCTGTTTTTATACTATATTGGATTAACCGTATTTTTCATTTCCCCGCCCCCTCTCCCTATTAACTCAGGTAATCGAGTATACACAATAGTGTAAATTATTGTAGCCTATGCTACTTGCTACTTGATTGTATTTTAACGAGCTTTATGTCAACAAAGAGTTCTGCTATGGTTAAGTCGCGGTGTAGCTGGACGTGTCTGTACCGTCGATGGTCTGTACCAGCACGCGTTATCTTTTATCTATCACAGCAGTTGAGCCATCCCGTGCGCTCCCTCTCTTGCTCTTAGTAGATCTCACGTCTTGCTAATCTTAAATAATAACTTTCTACACGAATCCTAAACTATCCTAAAATCCTATTTTAACTAATTTAATTCAATAATATAACTATTGTCATTAATTATCCACTTTCTATCTGGCAATTTCGTAATGTATTTTGGATTGTCGTCACGTTGAACACTGTTGCAATTAACTTTATTCCCCCCCCCATTTGATTTTTTTGAGCCCCCCCCCAAGAATTTCAATGACGCAGTCTGCGTCACGGCCCCCCCTTGTGGGCACCCCTGCTTAAACAGACCAAATGTTGATAAAAAAAACAGTGGATTAAAATTTTTACTGTCTTAACAAAATACAAAAAAAAAAATTAAATCCACTGTTTTTTTAAACAAAATTTGTTAAAAATGCTCTTCCATTTCCACAGTCGGTCTAAAGGTACCATAGTGGACTGAACTATATTACGATCTCAGTAAAAATATGTTTTTTTAAAGTGTTGTTATGACAGAAATTGTGAATTCATATGAATTCATTTCTTAACGTTTTAAAAAAAAGTAGAAAAAATTGTGGATAGCACAAACTAAAAATGTTTAACACAACTTTTTGTGAGGTGTATTACTGAAATTTTTTCTAGTTGTCTTCTCCAAGGTCAAAAGAAGTAGTTTGTCCTTGAAATGATCTAAGAGTTGCAGCCAGGCAAGGTAGGTGACCTACATTTACTAGTTAGTAAACAAAACACGTAAACAACTCAGAACAGCTGACTGACAAATAGTTGTCATACAGGTACAAATGTTTCATTTACCATTGATTAGGGGAGTTGTTTTGTAATCAACTAATGTAGGCCCATAATTTGAATGGAAGCCGTTGAAAATAAAAACACCTGGAAGAAGTAATAGCATTCTTAAAGTTTGCTTTTATTTGGCAATGGCTCAATTGATCTACTGCCGAGAAAAAAATAGACACTAGTATATTAAAAAAGTCTTTGTTTTACTCTAAGTATCCCCATAAAATAAATATTCTTGACTTTAAAAAAATATTAAGTTGTTATTGCAATCAGAATGTGAAAAACCAGTGATTTTAGAGTTTCCAAAACAATTTCATTTGAAAATTTTGACAATTCAAACAAAACATCAGAATTTCATTAGGCTTTATTACAACAATGAGATACATATTTCCTAGATTAATTTGTATACTTTCTTATTTTATACTTTACCCAAAATATTTTAAGTTAATTATATATATCCACTTTACCTTAAAGACACGCTAAAACTTGAAAAGTTTGTTTCAAAATTGTTTCTTAGTTATTCAAATTATTATTTTTATTTAAAATTTCATGTTATATTGTTATTGCCATTGCTTATTGTTCAACATTTGAACAGATTGTAAATTAAATAAAGTTTAAATAATAGCAATAATCACCAATAACCAAGACTATTACCTCAAAAACCAATTTCGATTGCATTTTTTCTATAAAAGTGAATGTACCTATTTATTAACATCAACATATGAACATAAAAATGGAGTTTTCCGTCTATAAATAAATAAATACATTTTTGGTACGAGTAAACCTCTAGAAAACATACAAATTTAATGAATCTGTGTATATGTTGAATTCAATTGTAATCAGTTTGGCTTATTTGAGTGGGATTTCATAATCCCACCATATTTTGCCATGTTTTGCTTATGAAACTCTAAAACACCACTCTATTACACTCCGATTAGAGTGCTTAATAAGCTAAAAATATTTCTTTGTTGTAAATTAAAAATAATTCCATGGAGATACTTGGAATAAAACAAAGACATTTTAATTTAGTAGCATACTCCACGATTTTATATAAGACGTGTAGGTAATTATCTATAGAACTTAAAACAATAGTGTAACTGTTTCTGGGACAGTATGTCCATTTTCGTTCAAAAACATTGCTACAACTATAACACGGGAATGTAATGACTAGGCCTGTTAGTTACCTTGTAAGTGACTTTGTCCACACTCCAGGCGGGTCTGATCGCCTCCAGCACAGTCGCCGCTCCCGCCTCCAACTCCTCAGCTAGGACGGTGATGTCCAGGTGCGGCGGGGACGTCGTCTGCTCCATGGTACACCCGCGACTGTCGACAGCCGAGTGCCAGAGTGCCACTATCACGTCGATCTACTAGGAGCGCGCTGACCTCCCCCACCCATCGTTGATGCTACAACTACAAACATAACTGTAAAACATACCACCTAACATAGGCTACTTAAATTCGATGAATAGGATTAATCCCTTTAACCTCAAACTATAAAAGTCGTACATTAGAGTACAGGCTACGGTGAATTAGCCGCCGTTTTCACTGACGAGTTAGTCGCGGATTTCACTGACGAGTTAGCCGCGAATTTCACTGACGAGTTAGTCGCGGATTTCACTGACGAGTTAGTCGCGGATTTCACTGACGAGTTAGCCGCTGTTTAAACTGACGAGTAAGCCGCGAATTTCACTGATGAGTTAGCCGCGGATTTCACTGACGAGTTAGCCGCTGTTTAAACTGACGAGTTAGCCGCGAAATTCACAGACGAGTTGGCCGCGGATTTCACTGACGAGTTAGCCGCGGATTTCACTGACGAGTTAGCCGCGGATTTCACTGACGAGTTAGCCGCGGATTTCACTGACGAGTTAGCCGCGGATTTCACTGACGAGTTATAGCCGCGTATTTCACTGACGAGTTAGCCGCGGATTTCACTGACGAGTTAGTCGCGGATTTCACTGACGAGTTAGCCGCGGATTTCACTGACGAGTTAGCCGCGGATTTCACTGACGAGTAAGCCGCGGATTTCACAGACGAGTTAGCCGCGGATTTCACTGACGAGTTAGCCGCGGATTTCACTGACGAGTAAGCCGCGGATTTCACAGACGAGTTAGCCGCGGATTTCACTGACGAGTAAGCCACGGTTTTGCTGACGAGTTAGTCGCGGATTTCCCTGAAGAGTTAGCCGCGGATTTCACTGACGAGTTAGCCACGGATTTCACTGACGAGTTAGCCGCGGATTTCACTGACGAGTTAGCCGCGGATGTCACAGACGAGTTAGCCGCGGATTTCACTGACGAGTTAGACGCGGATTTCACAGACGAGTTAGCCGCGGATTTCACTGACGAGTTAGCCGCGGATTTCTCTGACGAATTATTCGCGATTTTCTTTGATGAGTCAGGCTGCGGCCACACGGACGTTTTTTCACGCACAATCATAGCGTGAAAACGCGCGAAAAATATGAGCAGCATGAATTGAGGTATGCCACACGCAGTTCGTTTTCCCGCAGTAGTGGGCGCATATTCGTTTCAATGTTACTTTAATTTTTCGCGTGTTTTCATGCTGCGTTTGTGCGTGAAAAAAAAAAAACGCCCGTGTGGCCACGCCGCAGCCTCAAACAGGGTTTTCATGGACGAGATTGGTGCAATTTAAACTGATTTGTTTTCAGTTATGTAAAGTAGTTTGTGGACGAGAGATTTTGTGGACGAGCAAAAGAGAATTTTTGTGGCCTTATTGAAAACCTTAGTTATTATTTCTTTTTAGTTACCCGCTTAAGTCCAGTTGCCAGTTTTTGTTTTAATTTGTTGGCCAAAAGTGGTGGGGTGTAATTTATAGATAGTATAGAGTAGTAATTTTAATGTCAAGCTGATTGGAGAAAGTATATGTGTCAGTTTGCTGATACTGTTTATTATTTCATTAGTCTTTTCAAGATTTTAAACATTTAGTTTTTCCTTTTATAATTAAATTGTTACAAGTAAAGCTACCACAGGATGTGCTAGTACTGTATTGATATTGATATGACTTATTTCACATACTGGATCAATAGTGTACAAAATTATAGGTCTACTTTCAATCAATTGTTTATTACGTTGAGAAAATCTTTTATTTGAAGCACAGGCTGGTTGATGGTTATAAATTATTGTACTTATTTAAAGATTAAATAAATAAATAACCAAGCAACTTACAAAAATGAGAATTGTTTAATTCAATTGCAAATTTAAAACAGTTTTATACAGTAAATGCAAAAAACTAATTGTAAAAAAGTAGCTATAAAAAGACTGAAAAATCACCTAAACTGTTATTGTAAGTTATATTTCTTATGAGATAAGGACCCTTTAGACTATATGTTGGACACTTCCCAGTTGTTTGAACTTTATAGAATTGTTACACGGATAATTCTTTGCAGTCAGGCCAAAAGGGGTTAAGTCATTTTTTTGACATTTCAAGGTTTTTATCTCTTCTGTATCAAAAAAATGCGCCCTTTTCAATGGTACCAACGGTTTAAGTCAGAAAAATTTGCTTTTAGAGATATTCCACTAGATATTAAGGAGCTAAGTACGAGTGTCATGATAAAAAAGGAATAAGTCAGCTTAACCCCTATTTACCAAACAGTAATTGTGATCCAAAAGTGTTAAGATGACATAGCTCTTTAGAGTCAAACAAAAATAAGGTACCTACAACAGATTTAAGTCTGACTTAAATCCTTTTGATCAAACTAAACAACATAAGGTCTGGATAAGTCAGACTTTGAAGTAGTTAAATAACAAAGGTATTGGGTTAAGCCTGGTTGAATTCCTTTTGAGGATTATCTTAATCAACATGATGGTACATAGTGATTACTAAGATTAAACATACAATTTCAATACCGGAACCAGGTTAGCTAGGCTTCTTCATTTTTACTCCTTGTAAAGTAACAGCTGGTAAATTAAAAAAACAGAAACAATAATATCCCACCCACATGACTGGGCAACATTAATAAGGTGCACAAATAAGAAGTTCAAAGTAGTTGAAATGGATCAAGAAAATTTTTTGGACTTTTCTGGACTTCTCAGTAAAACCGGACCACTAGTTCTGAAAAAGATTGACGCATCTGGTAACAGGTTCTACTGGAGACCATGCTGTTGGTTCAAATATTCAAGCTCTTTTGGAGAAGTACTGTTCAAAACATCATTGGATGAAAATGAAGTATTCCAAACTTTTTCTATAAAGCGGCGAACCAGACGAGACACAGCCTCGTTTTCTTTGCCAGAACTGAAGAAGTCATATGCTGGCCCTCTTCCTATAGCACCAGCAAAGAAGAGAGATCTGATATCGTTATTGAATGTGGTTCCAACAGTGTTCCATGAATTTTACAAAACCTGAAGACATCAAGCATTCCGGATGAAGATCCTGACCTAAGAGAAATCGACCCAGATGAGGACTAGAAGCTGGACTAGAAAATGATGTATTTCAAGTTTTGTTAATTTTTATCTCAATGGCTAATTAATAAATATTTAGTTTAACAAATAAGGCCAACTTAATTTAAAATTTGATTTTTTATCAATCACTGAATTTAAATAGGCCTAAATGCAATTTTACTTCATAATGTATGATGTAGTTTCCATTAAATAAAGTTTTAAAATTATCAATTGAAATTTTTTTTATATCCAACATAAAAAACGAACTTGTAACAAAAGTTCTTTACATTTTTTTTAAATAGCGTTAAACAGATGGTATGAATTGTAAAAATGTACTTACTCTAAAATAAGAGTTAAGTCATCTAGAATTAGATCAAAAAGACTTATGTCATGATACAAAAGAGTTAAGTCAAAGATCAAAAGGGGATAACTACAATTAATTATTATAAAAACCAAAAATGTGAAACGACAAGTTTAGAAGAATATTTTTCAGATGAATATTGACATAATATAAGTTTATGATTACATTCATATTTTAATAATTAATTATAATAACGCTTTGAAAGTGCGTTATTTTTTCTAGGCCTAACCCTGAAAACTAGCCACCATCTGACTTACTCCCGTTTGGCCTAACTGCAAAGAATTAACACCATACTCTAAACAAAGCCTTCTACAAAAAGTTATTACAGATTTACTTTCATGAAACCAAATACTTTAATTTTTATTGCACACTAGTAATTTTGTTACTTGAGTCAGTTTACGCATTGATTAAAGGAGTGCCTCTACTCCTTTAATCTATGGTTTAAGGTTTGGTTCACCAAAATTCCATACGCAGCTGGTGTAGAAAGGTTCATTGTTGGCCAGCTGATTATGCCACAACACAAGCCATTGAGAAAAAAAGCATATAACTTACAATCACAGTTTAGATTACTATACTTTTTATTTCTGAAATTTTTTAAGCTTCTTTTCCCATTTACTGCATGAAACCGTTTAAAATTTGCCATTTAACTAAACAATTCCCGTGCTTCTAAGTTGCTTGGTTTTTTTTTGTTAATATAATCTTAAAGTGTCCAATAATTTATGACCACCCTAAAAGTTTAGTACCCATCATAAACTAGTATTGTTTTGCTATAGATTAATTTGATGTATTAAAATCCACTTTGGCTTCAATGATAACAAACTAATCCACAGCCACTTCATGCCTTAATCAAGTGTAGCGTGAGGAAGGTTATCGAGGTAGAGGAAGAACCAATTGATGGTTTAGTGCAGTAGGTCGAGTTGTAATAGGATGGGAATATCCAACCTCAAAAATTCCACAACAAAAAACAATTAACATTTTAGAGGAATTAACAGTCTGAATTCTATGGTAAAGTATTTTTTGTAAAACACTTCTATGCCTATTTAAATTTTTAGTATAATAATTTATGAGAACCACCTTACCCAAAACAAAATTATTTATCCTCATGTTAATAGCACCAAAAATCAATTTTTTCAACGAGTAGTGGTCACACTCGCAGTAAAGATCAGCGAAACGTAGCAAAATTCCTGATTTGAGATGCAACTCGTAAGGAATTTGCTCATCCCGTAAACTTCCACCAACGCCAATAACCATTTACTTGTAGTTGGCTTTTCTCATCAAACTCTGTTGTACCTAACTTACCACAGATGAAAAGTAATGTACAGGAGGAAACGTTCAATGGTAGGCCTACATTAAAGCAGGGTCTATCACTACCGGTAGTCAATGGGGCCTAAAGCAAAGTCCTGCGCTGCGCCACTTGCCCTAATGTACTACAATGCTAACTGTTGAGAAAGACCCTGTGCGATAGGAATTCCCGCAAAGTGCTCTCCGCTCCTCACAATAATTACAAGGCTAAACTCTCTTCAGTCACACCAGACTTCACCAAGGCAATACAGAAACCCCAAAATCTTAAATCCTCCCAAATACGATTTCTTTATTCTTAATATTGATGACCAACTATTATTGATCATTCCTTTATAATTACTGTGTTGTAGACTATGTGTATTACAAATAAACTACAAAACTACTGCCCCATAAATCTCAACAAAACTTGAACAAAATGTTAAGTCATGCCATGTCACCTGTTAATCTTAGGCATAAGGATACATTTTGTATGACCATGAGACAATTTTATATTAGGCCCAACTTTTAATTTTCTGGTGCCAGAAAAACCCAGATAACACACAGGTGAAACAGAAATGTGTTGTTCCGTCACTTAAAATTACTTAGGTAGTACAGTAATTGTTAGAAACATGAAGCAGCGATTCTACGAAACCAGGAGTTTTGCATTCTACTAAACCTAGTTTGGGTACATTTTCTTGACTGGGCTAAGCTAATAACGATGGAAACTATCAATTGAAAATATTGATTAATAATCAATATTTTTAACTATATCAATAATTAAAAGAAGTTAACGGGAATAGGGAATAGGGATAAATCTCGCTTAAAAAATCCTACTCCCCAGAGCCATACACCTACCAAGTTAACTTAGTTACAAATATCGAAACTGACATAGGCCTAACCTAACCAACCAAACTTGCTAATGAAAAAATCGAATGAAGGTTTACTAATCGAATGGATAGTTTCAATCAATATTAGCGTAGCCCAGTTAAGAAACTTACCCCCTAGGTTCCTTTAATTTTCACTATATGCTTATGTCTAAATTTAAAATGATGTTTCATTAAAATCTAGCCTAAATTGAAAATGGCCTAGGTCTAATGCATCAAAAATGATATCTCATCACTATAATAAGTTAACTATCCCTAACTTCCAAACAGATTTACTTGAAGTACAGATAATGAAACAGTAACTTATTATGTCATTGGCATAAATTAATTATCTAAAGGTAGGCTTAGGCCTAGGCCCACTCAGATTAATGGAACTGGAAATAGGGCTATTTTACAAATTGCTCTTATAATTAGGGAAGGTAGAAAACCTTTTAACTGAATAGCTGGTGCCTGGTGAAATAGTATATAGCAATTATATTATAGGCCTAACACGGAAACATTCGTATTACTAGCCACAGACTACTCCAGGAATCATAAGACAAAGTTTAACAGATAGACCTAACCTAAAACCGGTGTTAAAATTATCACTATCACTATAGTTTAAATGAAGATGTTCTTACCTTAGTTGCAGGTAAGTAGAGCCCCAAGGTCTTCGCTCGACAGGGCAGTAAAAATAAATATACAAACTATAATATAGATCAAAACTAACTACCGTGTCAATAACATACAAACATTGACAATTTTGATTAATTATTAGACTGGGACTTGACACTTGATTTCTTTCCAAACGCCAAACCTACAGACAGTGAGACAGTGACAGATAGCAGACCAGCAGACGTCAGTTAAAACAATGATCACCTGATCTGATCCGTCACTTCAGTGGTGCCACTACAAAAAATTGAATTTGTCATAGAACTAAAAGCCATTTATAAGTATACATATGTAAAAAGTATAAGCATTGATTAACTGAGTACACTACTCCTCGTATAATGGCTTTTAATATTTCAGTAGTTTTGTTCAAGCTAAGCTCTAAGGCTCTAAGCCAGCATTTTAAATTGTAGAACCAGGAGGATAGTAGCTTACCTTGAAGAAAATGAAAAAAAAAATGAAATGAAAAATCCTTTATTTTTTCAGGCAAAGTTAGGGCCACATGGCCCTTTCTTACACTTAACCTGACAAAAGAAATGTAAGTAGGTAGCAGCAGGCCATAGAACATACAGAAGAGAGTAATCTACAATAGTTGGAACGCTATTAAGGCTGTTAATAAGTGCACCATGTACATAAGAATAAACAAGAGGGGTTTGAATATTGAATACTGTTATATTACGTTATTTACAAGGTTTACAATACAGCACAATGTTTTTTTCGTAAATTTCTTAATACGTCTAGTAAAAACAAGTTTCCTGTTACTTTTCTCGTTTCATACGATCATCGATCGCTCCCTGATGTCATATCAAGACACTCTTGATTCCAATCCTTTGTCGTGAACTTCCTGGACATTTCTATGAAGCTGTGTAAGTCACAAGGGGACTTACAGTTGGGAAGTTCTAGGAGTTCAGGAACTTCTGTACTGTTTGCTCGACCGTTGATTTTGAAAACCTTAAATCGTTGAAATCGCATCAATACATACATTAGTGATCAATGCCACTATATAATCAACGTACACCACAATGGATTCATCATCCTTTTTATTAACTGAAAATTTTCAAGGTATGTCTAAGAAAATGTCCCGTATTGATGCGTTTTTATTTTATTTCTCGTCATTTTAATGTATATCAATTTATTCAAGCTGAACGATGTATTTGCAATGGCTTTACCTTTATTAGTTTAATGGGAAAACTCATTAAAGGCTCCAATTGGAATAACATGTGCTTTAGATATCTCCACACTAGAATGAGAAGTTCCCATGCATCCAAAGTCAATAACAGCACACTAGGTAAAGACCAATACAAATATATGTTTAAGGAGTTACCGGTATGCAAAAATTTTAAATTGATTCCAATAATGAAAATCTACTTAAAATTTTTACTAAGCCGGCCTTAGTAACAATTTCCTAGCTCTTTAAACACTATCTTTCAAAATGTTTTCTAAGACTTTATTAAAATAATTTTCTTTTACACCCTGCAACAACTTTGTTTATGGCAGTGTTAGTTCATAAAGATTTTACATATGCCATCTACTCTAGACGACGATTACTATATACTATATTATTCTCTCATAACAGCTACATCTCTTTCATCAAGTCATAACAGCTCTAAGCTCTTAACTCTAGGGGTTTATAGTACTTTTACTATTGCGATAAAACTAACCTGCAGTTGATACTCCGAGGGCAGAACAGAATTGTGATGGACCTCGAGCACTAATGATTCCGATGCCTCCGGGATATCTTCTTCTTTGTAGCCCAGCACTGCCATGAGACACATGATTGTGATGTCATGACCAACGTGTACCAACATGCGCAGTCTCTCCTTGACCTGCTCGGCTGTCACCATCTCAGGCCGCTGCTGAAGCAGGTTCAACATACTGTCCAGGAAAGGTCCTGCGGAAGTTACGAAGTAAGTGTGTGGGTAAAACTAGGAGGGCATGATAGGTTAGTACCTTTTTGATGGTCTTCCAATTTGATGTGGGTTTGAAAATGGGTTATTCGACCTGAAAATAGTCACCCTTGACTATATTAAAGAATGAAAACGGACTAAAAGGTACGTAACCATTCGTTCATCAGTCTTGGTGGACAAAACATGTTGTAGACACTAGCGACCAGTGTCACCGGACATGAACTAGACACGAAAAACAAGCTTCTAAATGTACAATGGTATGAGAAGTCTAGGGTACTTGTGTTGGTTAGTCTATAGTCTGTGGTAATATTTTGTGTAGCAGAAAGACTTGTTCAGTCATTTATACTCTCAGGAGAATTCTGGTACTAGATTATAATATGTTATCTTTTAATTATTTCTTCGAAGCATAAGTACCTAGACTCAGCTAAGCTAATTGAACTCTATACCTTTCCAAAGAAAAGAGAATACAACTCCCATTATACCTATAAGTATTTTGATCATTTTCATGTTCCGCATTGTAGTGTGTCGTATCATGTGGCTCACGATTGGTACGATTCTTGACTTGAAGATCGGCTCGGCCCACTCAGGTAATGCCATGTTGTTTTCTTCCTGAAATTTTAGAAGTGAAAAGTTACAACATACTTGTTTCTAATACTGAGATATTTTTATTAGGAGTATAATTTATTGAGCCAGTGACAGAACGTGCTAGTGTCGAAAATACTATTTTCTGCTTTATTTTGTTGTTGTTGACATCGGTGATGGGTCATAACTCATAACAGAGTCCCACAAATCATTCAGTTTTGTCTTGTATGGTTGACAATAACTGAAATCTCTCATCTGTTTACATGTTGACTCACCAGGGCCGCAAGATTCTGGTAGAGGATGAACATCTGGGATAGAGAAGTGATGTTGCGTCCAGTCCCGGCCGACATGGCAGCGTAAACATCGTGAAGATCGTGGAACCCCAGCTGTACCGTTGGGATTGCTTGGACGGAAACGTTCTGCTCGTGGAGATATCGTGGACACTGCTCCGGCTCCAAAACCAACTGAAATGGAAACATCGCGTAGAATCAAGCTTCTTGCCAAATAGACATACAAATCATTTGTTATCTTCTCAAAACTTCAATTCTTTGGGATTTTTTTTAAACTTGTCTCATCACCTCAGAAGATTTTGTAATGTGTTTTGGCATTTGTCTTCCTAATCCAATATCTAAGATCTAATACCAAAGGTCATTTTGGCGGCAATAATTGCAACCACTTATTGACTTTGTCGTTGTTAAGATGTCTAAAAGTATGTTCAGAGGCGGCCCTACCTACATAAAGGAGAGTAAGGTGGTGCCACAGAGCCGTATTTCTGGTATTAAGAGAGACCCGCTATTGAACTTCCCCTTGGGCGCCGCAATCTCTCTAGGGCTGCCACTGAGTATATTATCAATTAAGAAAGCTTGATTTAAAATCTTAGTTTTTACTGTCACTAGAACTCACCAATGCTTTATCCAGCAGGTTAGGGTAGATGGGGACAGGCTGCCAGGTGATATTGGGATGCCACTGTTGTCGTCCCATTGGAGGGTAAAGTCCGGCCAGCAAAGTGGCAGCACTGGCCATAGTCCTGTCTACGAGCGTTGACTGCGGCAGAATCTGAGACCCATGGTACACGGGACTGAGGAAGCTGTTGTACAAATGCCTCAACTTCTGCCCGAGCCGATACATCTGGTACTTGCCTACCTTGGACAGGAGAAATACACTCAACGACAGTGGAAAACTTTATTATTACTTTCAAGTGCTAAAAGAAGAAACTGTGTGTGTTTTGTTGATTAAATATTAAAAAGCTTTATACAGTTAGAGTTTGTAAATTAGATATTGTACAGCTTTGTCATGGTGTAACTCTGAAATCAACTGGCTTTGTCATTGTCTGACTTTAATGACTTTGCCATTGTCTGACTTTGTCATTGTCCGACTCTGATATCGTCTGACTTTGAAATCGTCTGACTTTGTCATTGTCCGACTCTGATATCGTCTGACTTTCACATCTTCTGACATTGTCATTGTCTGACTTTAATGACTTTGCCACTGTCTGACTTTGCCATCGTCTTACTTTGTCATAGTCTAGCTCTTGGCATTGACTGACTTTGCCATCGTCTTACTTTGCATTGTCTGACTTTGGCATTGTCTGACTCGAGAGTCGTCTAACTTTGCCATCGTATGACTTTGCTATTGTCTGACTCTGGCATTGCCTGACTTTGCCATTGTCTGACTTTGCCATCGTCTTACTTTGCATTTTTTTACTTTGGCATTGTCTGACCTAGCAGTTGTCTAACTTTGCTATTGTCTTACTTGGCATTGTCTGACTCGGGAGTCATCTAACTTTGACATCGTCTGACTTTGCCATTGTCTGAATCTGACATTGACAAACTTTGCCATGATCAACTACTGTCAGTTTAGTCAAATGTTCAAGCTTGTAAGGACTCTGAACCCTTACCCTCGTCAGCTGTCCCGCTCCGTCTGGCCAACAACCCTTGTTCCTATACGGATCCGTTGGGTAAGTATGAGTCGCTGCCCGGGCTCCATGTTTGCTCACCTGAAAAGAAGATTTTTACTTAGTCTCTCTTAACTTTTAAATTTCACCAAAAATAAGAAATAAGTAGATGACAACTTCTTGTGAAACAAAGAAAATAATTTTATTTTCAGCATTCAGCTGGTCAAGTGGTATAAATGTTCGACTTTTACTCCAATGACCTGAGTTTAAATCCAGCCAATAACTAATGCTCATTTTCTATGTAATAGTGTCAAGACCTGAAGATGGTTTGTAACCCACTTTAAGTAATTTTTAAGAGTCTTGGGTGAGTAAACATGTAGGCGATACCTGTATTAGAAATAATTCGCCACAAAAATCACATATGATGGTTTTAATTAAGTTATACCTTACATAGAATACGGTTTTGATCCTTTACAAATTTTAAATTTTGAAAACAATTGAAATTATTAAAAATATTTATATATTTTTATAATTGTTGTTGGTTATTGTAAATCAATTTTACAATCACTAAGTTCCCTCTATATTACCGTTATGAAATGTATAAAGAATATCTAAGTGATGTTAAAGTAAGTGAATTGTAACTAAAACTTGTACTGGAGGAGAATAATTTCTGGTCCATATTCTACACACTCTATACTATAATTTAAAATAAATAAGGACAATTCCAGACATACATGTTTTGTACATTAAACATTTTATAATGTAGAATAATACGTCAAAAGTTTGGATTTGTGTACTGTTTTTTTTTTCTGGCAGGGAACGTTCCCTTGGTGCGTAAAACATTCAAATGGTGTAAAAGATTACACTAAATAAAAATAATTAAAAACTTACCACAACAACAAAATCAAGAGTAGATACAGCTCTGGGTCCGTTAAGTTCTGAAAATGATCCATGGCAAATAAACAATAGGTACAGAATTGGGCGTATAAAATCCATTGTAACGTAAAACTAAAAGAATTAATGAACAAAACCAAAAACCGCTAGAATATTATTTGAACCACACCATCTACAAAGTTTAAATTACGTAACTGATCGATGTGTGTGATTATAGACACACTAATATGGCTTAATATAGAACTTATATTTCATTGACTGGCCACAATTTTGAATTGTAGTATTTTTGAATGATTTCTGAAATAATGGTTACAAAATAAAGGTTGTAAAATAAATTTCTAGTAAACCTAAGCAATGTTAGCCTTCTTTAATTTGAGGAATTCTTAACTTAAATTTCACAAAAAAAGTTCCAAATTATGATTCCAGTTAGCAACACCATAATGTAAAATTCATAAAAAAATGTTGAAATAATACCATAGAACAATTTTGTATATTATTCAAGAAAGTGGCTTCAGGCCACTTATCTATTTGTTTGAAGAAAAAAAGTCTTGTTGAAACATGAATACATATCGGGAAAACTTTGTCCAATCAAATGTGATTTGATATCACATATTATGATCAAATATTCATACTAATAATTCATTTGATCAAATGTGATCAAATGAATGATTTCAGACATTTAAACAAATAGAGAACTTTGGACCACCAACTTAATTTTTGGGACATATTTGTACCCCTATTCCATCAAAAACACAAATTCATTTATTTTTTGTAATGCAGTAGTTCATATTTTAACAGTGTTATTTTTAATATTGCCATTGGCTTGGCGCCTTCATATTTCAACAATACATAAGTGTATTGAGGGAAACCAGGATTTATTTGAAGGCTGCAGAGAATCCTGGAAATAGTATTTGGCCAATATAACTTCGAATTACGACTAAGTTGATACTGAGTAGAAGTATGACTTTAAATCGCCTTCAGTGGATACATAAGTGTGACAAATATATTATAAGAGATAAACAGTTATCTTTCCTATAGCTTTGTAAACGAAGAATGAAGTATAAGTGGTAACTCAAACGTTGCCAAATTACACTCATAATACAGGCTTAAGATTTTAGAATAGGATGAGAAGTAAAATTGCACTATTCATTTAATAAGTGTACCTACCCTGGTAGTTTCTTTGAAAACACATATGAAATTTACTTGAATAATCCTATAAATACTAAATCTAAGATTAGAACATCGCTTACTTTACAGAAATTCCAGACGATCTTCATGCTCACTTAAAATTCATTTCTCGAGGGGATTCGTGCAGCTGGTGGCAATTTTTAGTTTACTGGACTTGACTTGGTATATACATCCAATACACAATCACTTTACAAACTTTACAAACCAACAGCATATTTTAAATTGCCAAACTTCAAAACTGCTACCTCCAGATAGTTCAGCGTCTTTCCGCAACTTCCCATCTGCTTCGACAGTTTTGTAACCAAATCAGCTGTCATTATAAATCAAATGTAAATAAATCAGAGTGAACTTACATTAGTGTGATTTCCAGGTTAACCGGTCTAAATTTATAGTTACAAATTATGAGTAGAAACGAGCCTGCGCGTGCGAGAAGACGACTCGAGCTACGGGAGAAACTGAGTCTTCGGTCAATACCTCTGGCGGAATACCCAGAACAAAAGTACAACTTGGAAAACCACTTCGGATGGCAGGTAACACTGCAAGGAAGACCCTTTGATCAATACTATACACCTTCTGTGCATTACTAATATCGATTTATCTCCGATATTCTATTTTTATTTGTATCTTTACTCAAATAGCATCACTACTGTGTTTGCTATTTTTTTCATTAGGTTGTGTATTCACTTGAAAAGTTTTCAATAAGGGAAACCAATAGGAAATCTGTTTAGCTGTTCATTCTTTTCGTTAGTTTGCCGGGAATCGAATCCGTCCGAGACGCTAATCATTAGGCTAGCAACACCACTTTTCTCTAACCTAAAACTCATAGGGTCAGGATATTTCTATTTCTAATAATGTTTGTACTTTCCGTACCCCAAAACGCCTAGGGTACAATTTGATCTATTCAATATATTTTAGTTTCTTTATTATCCTGTATTGACTTATTGCAAATACTCGATTTTTATCTCAATCTATTCAGACTCAAACTTGCAGTCTTCCAGCTTTTGTAACATTGTTAAAAAAAACCTACGTGGACACTTATGATCTGATTGAAATTGAAACTCATTAGCTTTCGTTTAGATATTTGATTTTGTTTACCCAACTTCACTCTAGTACAAAGTCTATCTGTGCTAATACTGTATTTGTGTTTGCTTCTAGCCTATAACATTCTTAAAGAAGGTGCAGGTGATTATAAGATTGCCCTAACAGCAATACTTTGATCAAATTACGTGTTGTTGCAATGTTAGCACTCTATTTAAGTTATCTGAGATCATCATTAGCCACAATCTTGTTTCTAGATCTGTTGTAGTTTGGAATTATGTATCTTTTTGGGAAGATATTATCACTGGTACAATCCTGCGAAAAGTCAAAATCTGTTTATTTGCTCCCCATCTTAATGATTGATAATTGATAATTGATAATTGAAGCTGGACCTACCTAGCCTGATTAAGGCTCGAAATCACAAAATAATAAAAAAAAACACAATGATTAATTATGCTATTTTTTAATATCAATTTTGAATTTTGATAAAAATTTACATCTTTTCATTCAACACCGTCGTTCACTCATATTCGCTTTAAAATACGCACACCTGTGTCGGGTCATACAAATCTTATCTTAATTTTTATCTTACTCTATCTATCTTATCTTACCTTCTTGCTTGATGTCTAACTCCACGAAAACTTTATCATCTGATCGAAACCCTAATGAAGGTTTTATCGAGAACTCAAACCTTCAATTTTGACTTCCAGGTTCTCCAGAAGTGCAGAATCGGCGAAGGCTCCTTCCCCTCCTACCTGCTGCCCTGCGCTTACTGCGACAAACCCGATATGTCCGGAAAGGACGATGGAGACCATGAGGTCTACGTGTTATACGTCCGTGGAGAAGATGGCAAACTAGAGCCAGTGGACGTCAAGGAAACGCAGACGGTATTTTCAACCACGAATATCGTCGAAAGGGAAACGTCACCAGAACAGACGAAGGCGGCGCCAAAGAATGTGAAGAGAGTGCCGTTGCCACAACACCGAAAAAGAGTCATCAGCGACTTCTATTACATCCCGATCAGAGAGAGGACCGTGGCGAAGTATGACATAAGACCGCCCTCGGTGGTAAAATCCAACAGCGCAGAAGACGTGGGAGACGTGGGAGACAAGAAGAAGGACAAGAAGAAGAAGAAGAAAGCGGACAAGGGAAGAGCGATGCCGAAGAGCTGGCAGTTGCGCGCGGGAGCTGAAAGCCCGGAAGAGGAAAGCGAAGAAGAGGTTTGTGAAGATGAGAGGATCAGCAAGTTTATAGAAAACTTGAAGAAAGAATGCGCAAACTGCTTTCATAGACCAAATACTTCAGAGTTGATGGACTCTCCTGATAACAAATACCTTTACCTGCCGCGAGAGAGGTACGAGAAACGTCAAAATCTAAATTTGGATAATGATTAGTAAATTTCTAAATCTAATTGTAAATTTGTCCTCATGTGAAAAATATATTTATTGGTTGGAGTGCTGGTACGGATTATTATTGTGAGCAGTATAATGATAATCTGTCGACATTGTTAAATATTGTCTGAGTCTCAATTACTAAGAGTTTCAGCTGTCAAGAGAAGTACGTATGATTAGTCAACCCAAGTTAATAAATAAAAGTATACTTAATATTAAAAGTTGTAAAACACAGCATTATCTCTTGAACTATCAATTAAAAACTAAAATTCTCGACGGGCTTACATCAAATATAAGATTTCTTAAATTCAAAATTTTGTTTTCCCTTATTAATCATTTTTCTTTGCTGAATGTCCATAGGAAATGACTCAAGGTACTAAAACCCACACACATAGACATAAATTTTTACTAACACAAACAATAATATTTAAATAACAAAAGATATACACATTTTGTACAATATTGGTAAGGTTTTTCAGACAGTTTCTGGCTTCAGCTCCAACGCCCAGACGTGCTGCGGCCAACCTGTCCTTCCTTTGCCCTTGGACTGGTCAGGCTGGAACATGCACAGTACCGTTGATTATATACTATGCTGAGTGTATATTCAATGACTATACTTAAAAACATTACAATTAGAATTTTAGTGTAATGTACGATTGAACTTTGTTTGGATACTTCGATACTTCAACAAGGTAACTACTACGCACTTCATGCATGTATCTTTAAGTTGAATTTGAATAGAAAGAGCGAAGAATTGACTGAGACGACCTTTTTAACATATTTATTAGGATCAGTTTTTCTTTAATAACAATCATGTATAACAATTAAGAACAGCTGGACAAAATGTTGAACCATCAAAAAGCTACTAAGTTATATCATAGATAAAACATACTCCCTTCGTGTTGGTTAGTCTATGGTTATATTCTAAATTGAACAGTTGATATTTTCAGTAATATACAGTAAATATTTGTTTTACCCAGAATTTATATGACAGAGAAATGTTACATAATTACCACACAATTACTACGTTACCCAGAAATATTTACCTCTAAGATAAAGGCTCAATTATCTGAGATAAGAACGAAGCTGATTTTGTTTATTGAAACTAGACACCCCTATAAAATAATGTGTCGTCTTGCGGTCTGTCAAAAGTCAAGAGGTGGTTTAATTTAAGTTAGTACATATACAAGTTGTCATATGGCAATACCAAACACATTTCAAACCTTAACCACGCGTTATAAAAGCCTACGCGTTTTTCGAACCGTCAGCTATTTTTGCTACTTTAACCAACGGAGCCATGATGTTGGTGTTTGTAAATACAACTCACTCGCCAATTTTTGCAAACCCCAAAATCACACGTTGGTACAAAAGGTACATTATGAGATCTTCCAAAAAGATTATAAGCATCAAGATACCACAACAACCCCCATATATACTACTGAAACTACCCTAAATGTAATTTAGACCCTTGCGCGGGGTGTGATGATGCACTCACTTACGTAATTGGCGGGTAATTCAGTTTAGGGCGATAATAGTGGGCAAGTGTGAATAGGATGATTGAATTGTCACTTCTTGACTCCGACGTAACTTTTGGCGGGAGTGAAATTAAGGGGAGGTTTTGGCGGGGGAGTTCTGTAACAGACCAATCTTTTGTTTTTGCGCAACTTCGAAAGATAGATATGTTTTGTTGGATAATTATATGTTTTACCACTTTCTAAGCTCTTAAAATAAAGAATGAGATTCTCAAACATTATGAAATTTGAAATTTAAAGAACGTTTTGAGTAAACCGAATTCGTCTATGGATGCATTAGTCACAGTAAATCTCACATCCACTGGAACCTACATAAATTCCCGCGGACAGTTCGATGTTCCTGAGGGATGGAGGGGAGGTTCACGTTGACAAGGGGTGTCAGGAGGCGGACAGACGTGTGTCCTGACCATGTGTGTGAGGTGGACTCTAGGCTCCTCAATCGTCTGCCCATTTATACAGCTGTCACGTGAAGCGTGAAATGAAGATCAGCTTGCGGAAATAATTCGATACTTTTATTTACAAAGGAATCTGTCCAAAACGCCTCAAGTTGGGCAAGGTTTGGTTGGGATGGTTGTTTCATTTGAAATATTTATTTTGAATGACACACAATTTTTTAGAAGTGGAATTTTCAAAATTATATTTCGTCATTGTTTATGGTAGTGATATTTTTGCGTTTTGTAAGGAAACTACCCCTGGCCTTGCTACCATCTAACGTCAATCTTTTATTCGTTGTATCAGTAATTGATACCACAATGATAAATGGCATCCAGTTCCAAAACCACTTGGATTCGAACCAGCAGCCTTAAGATTTAAGGGAAACTAATAGCACTTGTGTACCCAGAGAATGGAAGTTTGAAAATTGTCATGAAAAAAGGCACGATGAGCTGGTATATTTTATTTAAACTTCAATCAATAAAATCATTTCATAATTTTTTAAATAATTCAAAACCCCTTAGCCATTTGCTGATTTCAAAACTACCTATTTAATACTGCTGATGGAAACTCGCAACGGGTTAACCTTTTTTGTATTCCATCTATTCCATGTGGATTTTAATTTCAAGTTACAAGATGATTTGTTCCACTTAGACCCTCTTACTCAATTCTACAACTGCAATCTTTATAGCTTAAAATACACATTTCAAATCACATTCAAATTAATGATGAGGACGATAATCAAATAAAGTAAACAATTCAGCAATCCGATTGTCAGTTAATATATTGCGACACTTCCACGGTGGCATGTGTTGTGTTGAACCCTCTTTACGGTAAATTAACTGCCCAATTTTGGGGAGAGCGCCGCCCCCCCTCCCCACAACACGAGCCTAATAGAGTTGCGGGGACGTTAAAGGATCTACTATAAGTAAGAGTCACAAACTATTTAATCATTTTATCAAATAAAAAACAAACCATGTAAAAATTACAACCAACCGTATTCAACGGTTAACATTTTAAGTTGTATACAATTTGAAATCCTCTGAATAAAATTCCTAGACGGGCTTCTAATTTGAATTTCGGAATCATACATTGTTGGTAAAGAGTTTAATCGCGAATTAGTTGACAATTTCAAACCTACTATGAGCTGACTATAAATTTATTTTATTCTGAAAATGAACCGTAACGCAAGGAAAGATGTCCAGTAGGATTTACACCTTTTGATACCGTAGAGAGTGTCACAATACTACCTTTTATTGTTTCAAATTATAAGTTCATCAAAATATAAAGGAAATTTGTATAACTTTAGGTTCGGGAGGCTTTAGGTTAGGGGGGGGTGGCTTTTCAGTATCGTGACGTACTGAAGACTGCGATGTCGTAAGTTCGAGATATTATGATGTTACTTAACATTTATCGGTACTGTTATTCGTTTTGGCTCTACCCCTTGATTTTCTTGACATATTGCACGTACAGGCAAGAGGCCATTTTAGATGGACGACCCGATGTCAAAAGAGGTCCCAGCTTCTTTCATCAAAATAAATTGTATTTTTACGATCACCCAAAAAGGTGCCAATACTACAAGAAATCGAAGTAGGGAGCGACATGGACTAACGGTAGAGAGTGGGACCTTTGTCCCACAAAGTCTCTGGTTCAAATCCCACCAATAACCAACGGATTGTGATATGAAGTGATAAACTGTTCTGGACTAAAGCAACTTCTTAGAATGTGAAGGGACGAGAAAAAGATACTCGAACACAAAAGTTCCGTTTTACCTGCGACTGTTGCCTCTGGTGTCTCCTGTGACTGCCCAGGTCCGCCTTGAAGCCGTCCCCACAGTCGTCGCTCTCCAGGACGCCCATGAGGTAGCCGATGTAGGACGTGGCGAGTCTCAGTGTTTTGATCTTGCTGAGCTTGGTGTCCGCGGGAACGTTAGGGATGCAGTCTCGGAGGTCTGCGAACGCGTTGTTGATGCTCTGCGTCCTCCTGCGCTCAGGCCAGCCATATAAACAACAACAGACTAGGGTAGACCCTACGGGCTATTAGGCTAAAGTAGACACACATTTCACTTCATGCTTGCCCTTTGAGTTTCGTGTTTTTGGAGGTCACATTGTACATGCTACGTTTTTCCATCTTAGGTAAGACGTTACAAAATTTTGATTTGCGGAGCATCTCATAAAAAACCCAACCCATACCATCAGATCACCCATAAGCCATCCCCCGCTCGTTTTAGATGGGCCTCTTCCACAAAACTCTGACACAGCACACCAGACATGTATGAGACGGAATTTAAACTCTCAAACTCAGACGTATTAGCTAGACAATTAGGCCATTGGTAACACTTACCCTATTAACAACATTGATCAACGAAAAAGAAGAATCAGTTGACTACAACTGACTTGACTTCAATTTTCTGCCTATGTGTAACATTCAACAGCTTTTAATTAATTGTTATTATGATAGTCGACGGTGGCATGGTCCTGTAATCCAGCTACTAGGGGTCACGAATTGTGGATATTTATAGGCATACACTGTGGATGCGATACTCCCTGGTGTGGATGAACGTCCGCACAAGTGAGTACTAAGACTATCCGCAGTACTATCCTGATAATTAGACCAATTCGTTAATACCAAGGCAAAAATTTTGTTCGGATTCCACTATAAACTGTAGGTCCCTTAGTTCATTAGCTGTATAGGCTATTAATTAACAGCTGTGTCTAAGTAATGTCGGCCTTAGTCACTAACAAGACTACAAGATCGTGCCACTCATTCTACACTCATCTCGATTCATACTTGGCTTAAAATACCTACTTTGTATGGTCACCATTTGATTGAAAAGTATTAAAAAGTGTTAGCTTGTAGGGTTTAAAGGGTAATCAAATAAATACTGTATCTGCATATCCCGAGCGGATACTGGGATAAATGTATGGTTTGTAAGCTCATCAAAGAAATAAAAAAAAAAAATAGATTCCTTGACGAAGATACTTTTCCCCAAACAACAAAATATTTCAATACCTACTTTGTATGGTCGCCATTTCATTGAAAAGTGTTAAAGTATTAATGTACGAGATCCCTAACCACTTGGATTAACTGATCAAATTTGTTTGGATCATCTCAATTTTTATCATGGCTCGGCCAAATTGCCACAGGAAATCTAAAGTATTCTTTCTAATTCAATCTAACATCTCTAAACTATTGTATTTAATTTGTATCAAATCCGTCTGATTATCTTGTGCCCTACCTTCTCTCCTTCTTGTTGGCCGTGTTGCGTCTCTTGACTACCCTGATGATGGGCGTAGGGTCGTGCAGGTCGTAGCTAGGGCCGCAGCCTGGAGGCAGCATGTCCGCACTCCCATGGTCGTAGAACCCTCCGCACTGCTGGGGAGTGTCCAGGTTGAAGTAGCGGGAGGTCGGACTGCCGTAGCCAACGTCGTCCTCGCCGGTGGGAGTGCCGGGGCAGGATACACTGCGGGCGCCATCCGACCAGTAGTCACCGCCGCCGCGGTCCAGGTACTCTGGAAGTGGAGGAAAGTTAGAGAGGTTAGGAGAATGTAGAAGACAAAAGGATGATACAAAGTTTAGATAGGAGATATCTTGCAAAAAGTTTGGGAGAGGAAGGTTTACTAAAGTCTAGAGTGAATAATGTTTAGTTTACAGAACATTGTAGAGAAAATAAAGAAGTATTTCTAGAGTCCCGTATGACCAATAGTCACCACCACCGCGGTCTAGGTACTCTGGAAGTGGAAAACAGTTAGAGAGGTTAGGAGAATGTAAAAGACAAAAGGACGATACAAAATGTAGATAGGACCTTGATAAAGTTTGGGAAACAATGGAAGGTTTTTATTGTGTGAATCAAGTTAAGTTTACAGAACATTGTAGAGAAAATAAAGAAGTATTTCTAGAGTCCCGTATGACCAGTAGTCACCACCACCGCGGTCTAGGTACTCTGGAAGTGGAGACACAAGTTAGTAAGGATAGGAGCAGTTGAAAAATAATGTACAATAAAGACAAAAGGATGATACAAAATGTAGATAGGAGATACCTCGATAATGTTTGAGAAACAATGCAGAGGTCAATTACGAAAGTCAAGAGGTCAAGTTTACTAAAGTCCACAGTGAATACAGTTTAGTTTACAGAAAATTATAGAGAAAAAGAAGGAAGGAATTGTAGAGTCCCGTATTACCAGCAGGCACTGTAGGCGCTGTAACTGTAGGTAATACTTTCTCTTCACAATACTTGAGCCTCCTATTAAAGAACTCTGGAAGTGGGGAAAAGTGTATAAATGTTAAGACTGGAAGTATATGGAACAGTTTGGAAATAATGTAGAGTGAATACATGGAGATGATACAAAATGTAGATAGAATATACCTCAGACGTAAATACAGTTTGGAAAAATTGGAGTAAATGTGAAGAAGGTTTGAAAGACTCTAGAGAATGAAGCTTGAAGTAGAGACAATTTTATATGAAGAAACGGCTTCATGAATCTACATTTTACAGTCTATGGTATGAAGAAAATATTAAGAGCCTCAAAGACCAAAATTCGCCACCGCCACAAGATGAACCGCAGAAGGTGAGGAACAATGGAAATATTATGAAGAGAAGACAAAAAATATTACACAAAATGTGGATATGAGATGCTTATAATCCTCTGAAAGTTGTGGAACAGTTCATGAATGTTGAGACTGAAAGTTGATAAACGTTTGAAAAATCATGTCGAGTGAAGACATAAAATATTATACAAGATGATGATAGTAGATACCTCAGAATCTTTGGGAAATAATGCATCAATCAATGTAAGAAGGTTTTCTCTAGAATAAAGCTTTAAGTCCTGAACATTTTTTAATGAAGAGAAAAGGAAGGGGGATATTTCGTTTAGGTACTCTAGAAGTATAAAAAGTTTATGAATGAAGTCCGAAAGGTAAAAACAGTTAAAAAAGATATATAGAGAAGACACAAAGATTACACAAAGTGTAGATAGGAGATATCTAGAATTCTTTAAAAAGAAGAGGAGAATTGAAATAAGGTAATGAATGTTAGAACTTCTTAGAGGTTTGGAATCTGTTGAAAAATAAAATAGAAAGAAGACAAAAAGATAACACAAAAAGTTGAAAATAGATACCTCGAATGCTGAGGGAATTTAGTCTACACATTTTTAGAAGACAAACAGACAAAATTGTCACCAAAACAACTCGCAAGTAGAGGAATATTGTTGATCGAAAAAATGGAATCAGACAAGAAGTGAATCATATAATTATAATATACGGTGCCATAGAGAAAAATATAGGGAATAAGAATACTACACAATGGAAAAGAGGAAACGTTTACAAAGTAAATAACAAAACTACTGATAAAAATAAAGAACTATAAATTACCTTAATCACAATCATTTTCTTGCGTTTAACTGAACGTATTTAACGAGTTTTATAAAACTACGGGACGTTGTGTTAACATAAAAAATTGTCTTTAAAAACGGGTAAACAATTTTAATGTCTTCCTCTCTAGATACAATAGCATATTTATCCAAAATGTGGAATGGGGATTTAAGTCTTCCAAAATTTGAATTTTAATTTTAGAAGGTTTTTAAAACAGTTTTTGATAGATTTGTCCATGTACAACGTTTCAGAATTTAATGAATACTGGGATTCTGCAGGTAGACGCCATCTATTGAATGAGTATTGTCTCTATGTGATAATTAAAAAAGATTGTATTGACGATGCACCTATTTAAGGTTACAATGTGTAATCATGTAAATGTTTTGTGCAAATAAAGATTTGATTTTATTTGATTTGAATGCATCGATTGACTTAAATCCAAATTTTCTAACAAATAATAAGACAACTTTACTGCAACTACAGTAGTAGGACAGTTTCATACAAATTCTACCTACATTACCTTATAATTTTTAAGAAGTAGACTACCTATAAAACACTCCTTTAAGTATTATAACACTTCGTTAAAGAAATTAATTTGTAAATAGTGTGGTATTTATTACTTTAAAAAGGTAATGCAATCTACTTATGGAGGTGTAACCGTGCTGTGCATTTTTCAAACTCATCAAGGCTCAGTAGATATTTAACAACAGATGTCAACAGACATTTACTATCGGCTCGTTGTCCAATGTTTCACAGGGAAGCTGCTGATGACGAATCATGGTTGGACGAATCATAGGTTCGAAACATACAGAACATGATGAAACATTCGACAATTTTGTCACTATTTTTTTTCTTAACAGCAGATGCCATTTAACGATTGTATTTAAAATGAAGGCATCAATACAACTTCAAATATTACATTAAAAGAGCACTCAGAAAAAAATTTCTCTGAGTATCGATCTTGTAATGTTGTCTTGTGTTATTGTGAAACTATAAAGAAATTTAAAGATTAAGTTCGCCTCGAAAAAAGAGTTTGTAGCTTTAACAGTCAATTGACATATTTATAATATGAGCACACGAACGAAACTATAATAACGCTATTTTAACGAGTTGATGATCCCAGCGACCACATGGCCCCACGGAAATAGCAGTGAAGACTGCTGGAGCTGGATAGCGACGAAGGTGGGGAACTTGTAAAACCTGAGGTACTTGTACCGAAATTTAGGTAACAATTTTTAAAGGAACAGTGTATTTTTGAGCCGAACACCATGTGTAACTTGTAAGTATTCATGTGAACGAGTAACATTTAGTTGACACGTATGTTAACAGGGAAGGATTCAAAACTTTGTAGGTCATTTTATAGGTTGTAGATATTGGCTAAAACTATTTAAAGAAACTTGTGTTTTATGGGGAATTTCAATTTATTCAGGACAATGTTTTAGTGGGGAGACTTATAAGTTGTTGGGTTAACTTTAACATTGAGGAACTTTCAGTATGAAATTTGTGGCTTGTTAAAGGGACTACTATTTGAAAAGAATTTGAATCCTTTTAGAAGATTTCTAAATTTTGTTAATGATACTAGTGAATGGTGCGAGAACTCAAAAAGGTTCGGGTACTGCAGATTAAAAATTTTAATCTTCATCTCATTACGCGCGTATGTGCGTGATATGGAAAGTTAAAATGTAAAGTGAAAAGTATGAATGCAAAGTAAAAATAAAATGATATAGATATGAATGAATATAAACAAAATTAGAATAACGGTGCATTAAATCCATAATAAGTTGTTGTATATGTTCATTGATTCAATTGGTAACAAATATTAAGAATGATCCAAATGTATCTTAGACATCAGAAAAACTTCATAATACGTTCCAGATCTTCCTATCATTTGTTATACATTTTTCACAACCCAATTATTTAGTTTTGTTAGTTATTTGAACCCATTAATTAACATCAGCTGAAATCTACCAATACCTATTAATTAACTAAACACAATACCAAACCCACTTGTATGATAAAAAAAGTGGTTAAGACAGGAGTTTTTAATTGAATATGAAGACATTTGTGGAACAAATATTCCCACGCATTATTTTCATATAGGCCTATATTACTTTCATGTCCGTTTGGAGAACTTTAGAGAAATAATAGGCATCACGTCATCATTAAAATATTAGCAGACTTTTTTCTTAAACTTATGTCACTGTTTACGAAGAAGTGCCAGAAGTGTAGCAGAAGATGAGTCTCACCGAAGTATCGACATCTTTATAATTAATAAGGAAGGGAGTATAGGATTTACTATTGACCCACAAGGTTCGAATTAAGTCAAGAACAACCATTGGAAATCGATGCAGAAAAAAAGATATACGAGCCGACGATTCCATACTTAAACAAAAATTACTGTAAATATATTGAAGTATTTGGTTTATTTGTTGGATCAAGAAACCCCTTACAAGTTTTTTATGTACATTTTGGAAAAGATTTAAATTGGACGGAAAAACTCTTAAGAAAATTTCAATTTTGACATTGAAAACTTCAATACCAATCCTAAGAAATCATTTATACTCTAATTGATCAAGCTTAAAATTATCTTGACATTTTAATTGGTAAATTTTTTCTTCGGTTTAGCCTAAATTCTTATTTGTTATTCTTTGTGTCTAGCAGCTTGCTTGTAATAGAGCAAGAAGGATATAATTTATTTAATAAGTTATCTTTATATGAATAATAAATTATCAACAATGTCTATGAATAATTCCTTTTAGTGCACTAATGCAACGCATAATTCAAAGGGAAACCATTTACAAATTTAAATGATTCTCATTTATTATTACAAGAGATCTCTCAGTTTAAAACATCTAATGTAAAATAGATTGTTTAGTCTGTAAGAATATATAATTGGCACCTTTTCTCCGTCTTCAGTCAGTGGTCTGAGGTTACTAGTTGCGGGTAAGACATATTCTCTAATCAACACCAAATTATGCTCATAAAATCCGAAATACATCTTCATAAAAACTAGTTATCCACAGACTACTGTTTGTAAGAAAAGACGGACAAACTCACGTGCCATCATCGTACAATCAGTCTTGGTGGAAACAATGTTAAAATAATATACAAATTAAGATAGAAATGCATGCAGAGAACTAAAAATAAATTGTAATCAATTTACTATTTTCAGACATTGGATGCAGACGATGTAAAATTCAACATTTCAGGAGGACATTCATGGCATGAATAGTGGATAGTTATTGTGGAAACCTTTGTTTTAATTTTGTGCAAAGTTCTAACTAAGCATGGGGTATAGTGATTAAAGTTTTTACCGTGTAAGAATCCAACAGATCTTTAAATGAACAAATTGCGTATCAAAATGATCAAAGAAGTGGTTAAAAATGGTTTAGATATGATGCAATGGCCTACCTTGTTGATGATAAGGGTTGGCAGGATGATAGTATCCCTGGAAGAATTCCTCCTGGGGTAGCTCCGGGTACGCTCCTTGCAGACTCATGGTCATGGTACGGACTGCCTGAGGGTAAGAATATCCCCGGGATCCGCCCCTCGGTCTAGGCCCCGCCTACCGCTAGCTGCTCTCATCTCATTGGCTGACGTCAACAGTGAGAGGGGGGGTACAGCCCCCCGTGTATCACAACGTCATAACTCGTGATGTATGATTGTACTTCAGTAAATTGATGTTGAAAGTACTCGAATTTTCTTCTTTATGCATCTACGATGTTTTGCTTCTGATTACAGTTTTCAATGTTACAATGTTTCAAAGAAAATCATGATGTCAAATGTTAGCTTCATTTCAAAGCAAGAAAGGCCTAGATAGGTTACTAGTTTCCAAAACCATTAGAGTATTCGATAGCATTTGATATTAAAGTACAGCATTGTACCAATAGTCCTTTATCATTGTATGTTATTTCTTCTTCACGTCTAATTGTGGTATGTAACACTGGATTCGTTGTAAAAGTGCTCTATACGCTATCAGAAAACTAAAAATATTAATGTAAATTTTACGTATACTGAATATAAATGGATGGATAAAATATATAAGAATTTAAAACAATATCAAACAAACACAGGACATCAAAATCGTTAAGTAGCAATCTAACTTTCAAAGCACATGGAACCTTGTTTTTTTTTGCACATGGTTGGTTTTGATAGATTTTTGCTTGGTTTGATTTTTAACTCTTGATATTTATTTTATTTTATGCTTGTACACTGATATAGCATGTAACAATATTGTTGACTGGCCAAATAAAGTCATTGTATTCATTGTAACACTAATGAAAAATCAACAAAACCATAATAAGTCATGCATAACAAATATAATCTTTATTATTAGCAAACAAAATTATTAAATTTTATAGACAACGTATACAGTATGTGATCAAGTGTTATGTGAACAATAACTCCTTTTTGACGAAAATATAAGTGAAATAACCAACATCAAACGAGGATACCTTTTACCGTTTTATTTTTATTTTAATATGGAACCCCCGGGGAGAAATGGACAAAGTCAGAATAAAAATTAATGAAATGAAAATCTTTGTATCAAAATTACAAAAAATACCCCCGCCGCAGCAAACCTGCTGACTAAGCGAATTTCCATTAACCTGATTGGATTCACACTAAAATGCCTCCATAAAAATAGCACATTTATTTCCTATTTAAATAGAATTAGTTTAACGAGTACTTAGGTTTGCTGCGACAGGGAGGGTAAAAAAGATTTTTTTTATAAAATGATAATAGTTTAGTAAGAAATAAAAGTATTTTCCAAATTCGATCAAAATATGTTTATAAACAAGCAAACTACAACAGTTGACTTATTCTCCATAAGAATAACATGGGAATTTCAAAATTACGATTTTTTGGAATTTTCTCCGTAACAATTAGGCGCATAATTTTTTCCTCTCACAAAAATACATACAGCTAATTATAAAGCTGTATTAAAAGACATGTATAGCTGTTGATAGATTTGAATTATTTACTATCAAAATATTCCGAAGGCTACATTTTCCTGGTACGTATACTTACTTGCATACTTGAAGGTATCCCACTTGTAGCATTTCAGCCGTGGTCGTCATTTTGGTTTATATAGATTAGTAGGCCTACATAATGTCTTCACGTATTATAAATGTGTGAATTTTGTACATATACTACAAGAGCTTTCCCTGTGAATTGTGTATACTACAACAGCTTTCCCCCCTAACAAACCAAGAGTGAAATATATCTATTTTACTAAAATCTAATAATAGTCAATTATAAGACTAAGCATACGTTAAAAACACACATAACAACATGTTATATGAATAAGAATAAATAAATAACTATATAATTATGCGAATCAAGGACTGTGGTCGATCTGCCCGTGATTGACTGGCAATAGAATGAACCAGGTTATTGTTCAGTTATAATCAACGACACATTGATTAAATCATATGTGATTGTTAATGTAAATCATGTTTTATACAATGATTAAACTAACAATTTATTCTATCATTGCAAACTTATTGTTTTATATGGTTAAAATATTTTGGAAAATTAATAAAGATATAAGCATAGATAAAACATATAAGTAATAAACTGTATCAGCAAGAAGACACATACTTTCTCCCATTAGCTTGACAACAACAATTATACTCATAGTAGGGAATGAGTTTTTATGGAAAAAGTAAAAAAAGTTCCCAAAACGTTCGGAAAAAACGGGAGTTATGCCATTTTTCGAGTGTATATTTTAGTTCTGTACATATCCACACACAGATATTACTACAGTAACTTAAAAACCCACTTTTTAACTTCAAGAGGCACCCAAATCGATTATTTTATCCCAAACCTTAAATTTGAAAAAAAATGTTGACAAAAACATTATTTGTTTTTCAAATACAATGTATAATATATGTATGGAGAATAAATAAGAATGGATCAAATTCAGTGAAAACAATACAAGTTCATTCAAATGGGTTTGCGAACCAACATGATCGAGCTATGGATAAGGGATTTTACGGGGGGTTTTCTCATTTTCGGATCACAAAAATTAAATTTTATAAATTTTAATTTACTAAACAGTAAAAAGTTAATGTACTGTTGTAGTGTTCTTGTTTATGGATTTACTTCGATCAAATCTGGCATATTTATTAATTTCACACTAAACTATTAGCGTTTCACTAAAAACACACTTATATCCCTTCTTGTAGCAGAAAACCTCGTAAAAATTTAATAAATTAGTGTAAATAAATGTAAGTACTCGTTAAATCTAATGATATTTACAACAGAAATAAATCTGAAAGCTCTATGGAAATTAAATAGGTAATTGAATTGAGTGGATTTCTCTTAGCCTGTAGGTTTGCTGCGGTACGAGTATTTATTTCTGGTAGGCATTTAATAAGTACTTGAACATTTTGTACAATTGTTACACATGTTTATATGAATATAAACATTCACATGAATATAAAGATTGTATACTCAGTTTCATTTTAGTCTAAATAACTTCGTCAATGACCAATTTAAATCTTTTTACACTATTTCTTTTACGGAGCGATTTCACTATAGTTTCATCCAAGCGTGTTAAAATTAGTTTTATAGTCACATTTTATAATCAACGCTATATCAGGTCTAATGCTCGTACACCTCTCTAGAGCGGGGGGGGGGGGGTTAGCTCCACCCCTCCCCCACTTCTCATCATTTCTCTTTTCAGCTCTACAAAACCACAACTCCTAATAGCTTTGCTCGTAATCTTCCTTTATCTATTCTTGATTTTTCAATTTTTCAAACTCTCCATCCGTCTTCCGCTAAGCGATAAATAAACCTATTTAGCTCCGGTTGATCAACAATTTTTATTTATGGGGTGTTCGTCTTTCTCTTTGTGGACTTAGTTATGAACTGAAATTGGAAATTGTTGGATGAAACTGATAGTTTTAATGGTTTAAAGTTTGAAAAATTACTTAAAAGATAAGCATATGCCAAACATTGCAAACATTTTTTCAGAGTTTTGATTTAGATTGGCATTAAAATTAAACAAACTTTAGTGAGACTTTACCCTGTCTATGAATGGAGGTATCAATAAAATATGTATGGATTTGTAAAAATTATATGTTTCTTCTACATAAGTTGTTAACTTATAATGAAAAATTGTTTTGTTATCACAAAAATACCAGTTAATTATAAATTGGGAGTAATATTAACGGTAGAGTGCAACATATGCTGTTTATTTCGTGGGATTAACTCTATATTATATAGGTACAAATATGAATAAGTCCAATTTTAATACAATTTACTCAATAATGGGGCTATATTTCTAAACGCTGGACAAAAATTGTCAAACTTACAAAATGTCTTCATTCTCATATAAGTTATACGTCACTTATGTTATTTCTCACATAGCTACCGCCATGTTTTATTCTTGTAGTTTTTCGGTATAATAGTTCCATTGTCATTTGTTTTGGAACGTTTAATAGTATTTTACAATAATTTTATACAAAATTCGCACATATCGTTAGCGTTAGACGAATTGTTATGCAATTTATTATGATCGATTTCGATCAAATTGTGTAGAAATCTACCCAAACAACAGCGTCGCTCGGCATCGACGCAACAAAGTAAAGCAAATGTTTATAATTTACAAGGAGCCGCGGCTGGGAACGGATCCAAAATGGCGGCCACTTGAGTCGATAACGTAGTTCAAGTGGTGTTCTCACTGAAGAAAAACCGCGTCTGATGTCGGCGAAGTATCTACAGTCTACAGTCTAGAGTACAAAGTAACTGATAGTGCTAAAAGAATACTATAAACTACATCGTCTAGACTAAGAAGTAATCTGGATAACGATCTGATAAGGTGGTAATATGTCTAGACTACAAAGTATTCAGATATGGTGAAAGAAAATGAAAAAAGGATGGACGAGAATCAATGTGAATGAGAACAAAATATATTTTTTTTTACTGTGCAGAAATTGACGCTGTTTAAACCACTCTCATAAAACATACTCACTCATAAAACCAATAAAAACAGTACTTATCATATTTTACAACAATCTTTGCATTAAATCAGTAATTTAATCCACATATACAAACAAACAACTCTACACCAACTTTATCTTAAACAATTACAATTCTACCACTGAATTATGTTTTAGTACATTGCATTAGGCAGTGTGTAGAGCGTATAGCCACTTCAGTTATATGCAAAGTATTAAAGTACATCGGATTGCAAAGGTTTTTCTAAACACCACATTAGCCTAGAAGACACGGCGCAGGTAGACAATATGAGTACCGCTATCATATTGCAGATGAGAGATTTGAAGGCGCAGGTAGATTTAATGAACTTTCTTTCAGGTGCGATGTTTAGTTTTCTCGTGTTTTCTTTCACAGATAAGCCAATAGTTTTTCCTTATTTACATAGAGACTAATGGTTCATTAGTCTTTGACTATTCAATTTTTGGAATATTAAATATTGAATAGTTGGTTTAAGAAACAGTTTTATGATTGATTGCCATCTTGCAGTGAAAACGGCT